CCCCACCCGGGACGGACCCCAGTGCCTCCTCCCCAGGGCAAGGGGCCCCCACAGTCCTCCACTCACAGCCCCCCAAATACTTGTGATCGGCCAGGCCTCTGCTCAGCCCCGGCCCTCCGGGGCCACATCCCCCACCCTGCCCACCCCCACGCGTCTCAGAGCTCTGCCCCGCCCCTTATCAGCTTGCCTGGGGCTGTGCCGGGCCCCACACGGTGCTGTCCTGGGGGGTGCAGGTGTGGACAGGAAGGAAGGGACGCTTTCACAGAGAGGAAGTGCCCTCTGTTCTGGGGTTCACTGTGGGGGGTGGGGATGCGGAAGGCGGGGGGTCCTGCGGGGGCACAGCCACACCAGGGCGCTGGAAGCGGAGGGAGAGGTGGGCACTCGGACCCGCTGTGCTGTCCACGGTGGGCTTGCTTCTCGGGAGGGAGAGAGGCCTTCCGAGTCCTCCTGACCACTGCCGTCTCACACGCTCCAGCAAAGATGTGCACATGAGTCAAATCTTTTTCAATGTTTCTTTCGCAGGACAGCGAAGCGCAGGACCCACATTCTGGCACAGTCCACTCCCCAGACCCGCTGCCCCCCTGGTCCAGCCCCAGAAAGCTCAGTGCGTGTCCAGCAGACCTGGGAGGGAACCCAGGCCTGGCCTGAGCCAAACCAGCTCGTGGACAGACAGGCAGACAGACAGGCAGGCAGACAGACACCGTGGAGGGCCCCGGAGCTCCTGTGCCGGCCCCACGCACACCAGCAGGCGGGAGGGAAGAGGTGCCCGCTCCGTCCCCGGCAGCGCGGTTCCTGCCAGAGGGAGGGCCGGGGGGGTTAACCACGAGGGGAGGAAGTGAAACATTACACGCCAGACTGTTGTCTGCTGGCCTGGCCGCCTCCCGCCGGCCTGGGAACCACAGGGAGTCCAGGGCGAACCTCCCCCACCCTGGGCGCTGGGTGCTGGGCGCTGGGGTCTGTGAGGCCTGGTGGGGGCGGGGGCCGGGCCACCGTGTGCCCAGCTCCCAGCTGCACCCACAGGCCCTGCGGCAGGGCAGGCGACTCCGCCCACAGGGCAGCCTCCCCCTCACACTGACCCCACGTGGGAAGGACGCCAGGCCCAGGCTGCCCCCCCTGGGGACACCGGGGTCCTGGGACCAGACCAGGGCCCACCTCATCACCCCATTGGGCCGTGTGCATCTTCCTGACGCTTCTTCTGCAAGAGGCACTTGGACTCAACTTTCCTTCGTACAAACAGGGGCACATGGACCCTGCGAGCGACGTGGCCGCCACGTGGCCACCCAGAGACACCAAGTCCTTCCCCTCCCGGGCTGCATCCCTGCGGCTGAGGCCTCAGGCACTGGCGGCCCCTCACCCCCCGCAGCCCCGCCGACCGAGGGCCAGAAACGGCGTTTTCGCATCCACACCCCGGACTCACAACGACAGGCCCCGGACACCGCATTTGCTGCGCGGTGGCCGCACTGCGGACGTGAGACCCGCAGCCGCGCAGGCCGGCTGTCTTCACGGAAGAAGGTGCGTCTGTCGGTGGATGGACCCGCACCTGGGCGACGGCGCCCAAGGGTCAGCGGTGCGGAGCTCCTCACTGCGGGTTGTCGCTGGTGGTCCCGCGGGGACGGCGCGTCAGCCGGCCCCGCCCCCCTCAGCTGCCCCTGCTGCCCCCACGCTGCCCGCGCCCTTCCCTCCATGGGGGGCGCGCCGAACGCCCCGTGGTGCCTGGACCGTGTCCCCCAAACTCCTGAGTGACGCCCTGATCCAGTTCCTCATGTGAGACCGGGCCTTGAAAAGGCAGCCGGGTTAAAGCGAGGCCAGTGAGCGAGGCCACGTCCAGTCTGGCTCCGCCCTCATGGGGACAGGGGGGCCAGGCCCCGACTGCGCCCCTCAGCCCCTCGGCCTGTGCTGTCCCCCGAGAGGCCCACCTCCAGGCACCCCCCAGGGACCGGCCCTGCGTCTGTGGCCACTGCTTCCCTGGGAAATGGGAACTCTGTCTGCAGGCAGCCCTCGCCCGCCTGAACGTACAGTTTCCTGTCTGTCCTTGACGGCCGATGAGAGCTCTCGACACAGTGGACTTCGAGTCCTTGCTCTCGCACTAGAGTCCTTGCACACCAGAACGCTTCCTCAATCCAACGCTCTTTCTGCGGGCCTGGCTCATGCAGTGTTTTCCTCTGTTGAAGTTTTCACTCTGAGACAGTTGATGTGACTCTAAGGAAACATGGAATTCTCTCTCTATATAAAATACATATATGTGATACATACAAATATATAAAATATAAAATTACTGTGTTTTTCCAGACTGTGCAAGCAGAAAAGTTTTTTAAAAAAACTTTATTATTAGCCCTGGCTGGCGTAGCTCAGTGGATTGAGCGTGGGCTGCGAACCAAAGTGTTGCAGGTTCGATTCCCAGCCAGGCCACATGTCTGGGTTGCAGGCCATGGCCCCCAGCAACCGCACATTGATGTTTCTCTCTCTCCTTCTCCCTCCCTTCCCTCTCTAAAAATAAATAAATAAAATCTTAAAAAAAAACCTTATTATTAACGTCCTCAGAGAGGTAAGAAAAAACACCGTGACCACAGACAAAGGCGAGAAATGAACACTCAGGGGACAGAGTGACTTGGAAATGCCGGTGGCCGCCGCCGGAGCGACCAGCTCCGACGTGGAAGGAGAGGCGGGCGCCAGAGTCCGGGCTCCTCCTGGGAAGCAGGTCCAAGGACCAGGAGAAGGGAGCAGGGAAGGCCGTGAGAGGCCAGTCTGAGGTCAAAGGCCCTGATGACGCCGACCGCAGACGGAGAGAACGGCCAGCCAGAGGAGGACGTAAAAATTAATAATCGAGAAAACGTCCTGGAACTCAAGGGCAGGGGCGCCCAGACTGAAAAAGCCGCTGGGAACCTAGCAAAGGGGATGCAGGTGACCCACGGGAAGGTCGTGTTCATGAACGGTCAGAACACGGGACAAAAAGAAGGCCCTAGAAACTTCCAGAAGAAGAGCGAGCACGCCGGGGAACAGAAGTGAGAGCGACCCCGCAGAACCCCCAGCACCGGGGGCCGGGGTACGCGGGGACGAGGCTCAGGATCCGAGGGGGCGTGGAGGCCAGGCTTTCGTCTGCCCCCCGCGCGGCCCCTCGGGGGGACCGAAGGGGGGCGTTGTGAGGCCGCAGGTGTGCCACCGGCCCTTTCTCGGGAAGCTGCGGCAAACATGCTCCTTAAGAAGAAGAGGAAGCTGAGGGAGGGGAAGGACGGGCCTGGGGAGGCCGGCCCGGGGAGGAGGAAGGGGGAGCTCCAGGGTGAAGGCCGGGACGGTCTGGGGTCCGGCCCTGCGCACCCCCCGGATCAGGGAGGTGCAGGCACCCGCGCCTTTCAGGCCGGGCCGCCGGTGAGGCTAGGGGTGATTCCGCCATGAGCTCAGAGGAAACCCCCCAGCGCGAAGGTGGGAAGGGGACCGTCGGCTCCGGGGAAAGCCACACGCGTGCAGCGGGGACGCGGCTGCCGCACGCCGCACGCCGGGGGTGATCTCGCACGCGGAGCCAACAGAAGTCGCCACGCGGCCCTGCGGGGACACGGGGGCCCACGCGTGTGGGAGGAAGCGAGCGCCTGCCGCGTCCTCGGGGGTGCCCGGCGACCCCTGGCTCGGACACGCAGGGGCTGCTCCTGGGCGGCCTGGCGGCGTGAGCCCGGGGCAAACAGCACGAGGGCTGTCCGTCCACACAGACGGGGGGTGGGGGAGCTCGGGGGGGGGGGGAGGCTGCCTCGGGGGGGGGCTGTCCGTCCTGGAGACGCCTGGCTGTGAAACCACACGCAGGAGCAACTGACTAAGCCTGAAATTAAATAGAAGCTTACTGGGCGCAGCCGTCATCCTCTCGGGCCTGGGGTCACCTCAGTCGTCTTAGGGTGACCCGCAGTCAAAGGTCAGCCAGCACTGGGCCGTGAGCGTCCGTGCCCCTGGTGGTCCAGGGCCGGCCGTCGCCCACCGCTCCTGCTCGTCTCGTCCGCAACTCCTGACCCGGCGACCCCGTGACCCCATGACCCCGTGACCATCCCCACTGGCCCCTTCCTGCCGTGACAACGCCCGTTTTCTGGGACCTCCCACCATGGGACCCCACCCCACCGTGCCCACCCTCCTGGCCTGGCAGGTCTCCACGGCGACACACCCACGTGGCCACTCCAGACCAGGCCCCCATCTTGTTTCTTCTGTGCCCCCACATTCCCTGTGACACCCCGGGCTCCTGCATCTGGGCAGGACGGACTTCCAGCCTTGGGGGCGGAAGCTGGTCCTCCTCTCGCCCAGGAGGACGCCCTCGCACGCTCACAGGGCGTCCGCGGCACACCTGCGTCTTGCCACACAGAATACATTTCCCGGCAAGCACTTCCTGGCATCGCCGTGTCCAAGAGACATAAACCCAGGCCCCCGGGCCTGCCCCTTCTCCCTGGGCCCAGGCTGGCTGTGCAGCCCCCAAGCTGTGCCCCCCCCCCGCCCCCGGCTGGGCCACAGTTAGGGCCCAGGGAGCACTTTCAGTCCTTTGCAATGGTCCTTCCCACAGAAAGCTCAAAAACACCCGAACACGCCACGGAGGGCCAAATCCCCAGCTTCTCCCAGGGGCCGTGGGTCCCCTCGAGCCTTCTGTGTGGACACACGGGGCTGAATGCCCAGTGGCCACTGGACCTGGGACCTCTAGTCGCCGGCCAGCCGGCCTGCGCAGGCGTCTCGGCCAGCCCAGCTTCTCCAGCCGTTCCCAGAGCCCCCAGCCGTGTGCTGAGGGCACAGCCACTGCCCCACCCCCAGCAGAGAGCAGAACCGCGGCTGCTGTGACTCCCTCCAAGGGACCCTGGGGCCTGACCGGCCGAGCCCCTGGGCTCCCCGCTGGGGCCCCGATGCCCCAGAGCCCCAGCAGGGGGCGGACAGGGCAGGTGGGACAGAAAAGCTTCGGCAGGGGGGGTGGGGAGTTGAGGCACCCGCAGCCCCCACGACACAAACTCTCCCCTGAGGCTTCCCATCGGCCTCCGTCCTACCTGCTCCCGGGGAGACGGCGCCGGCTGCGGCCGCGGCCCCGGGCCGCGTTATCGGCCCCACTGGCCTCGGAAGGCGGTGGAACCCTTCGCCTGGTACAACGGCCTCCGCAGCACGGCCCAGGAATTCCGCGTTGAATAATTTTTAACTTCTGCTGCGAGAGGAAACCAGGTTTGTGTCTCGGGCCTGTCTGCACCGGGTGCCCAGGGCTCTCCGTTCAGAGTCAACACCTCGGTCACAGCGAGGAGGAGAGCCGCCGTGGAGGGAACAGGGGGAAAGGGCAGAAGAGGAGGAAAGCGGTCGCAGGCACCAGGCGGGGGCCCACTCCCCGCTGGAGCGCAGCCAGCGGGCCTCAGGGGGGCCCCCACCCCCCCACTCCCACAGTTCTCATCCCAGCTCTGGCCACGGCCCCGCGGCTGGACAGGGCAGAGGCCACATGCAGCTCCGGTGGTCCTGTGGCCACGACGGGGGACGGGACAGCCTGGCCGGCCGGCCCTACCCCAGGTGACGGTCACACAGTGCGCCGGGATGGGCCCCGCCTGGACGCCGGTTTCCTGTAAAAAGACCTCGAGTTTCTTGAGACCCGGGTCAGGCATGACCTCCGCTCATGGAGCCATGTGGGAGGGCGCAGGGCCACCAAAGGAGCAGCGTCATCACCGCAGAGGACCGGGGCCGGCGCCTGGCCGTGGCCGCTGTCCGCCCAGCCGGGTCCCCCGTGGGTCGAGGCACCGGGGAGGGAGCAGGGGTCTCTCGGGATGTCTCAGAGAGGCGTCCCTCTCTGCCAGCCAGGGCAAAGGGTCGAACTGTGGGGAAACCACACACATACAGGAGTTTGCAGGGACGGGAGGTCCCATCCCTGCAGGGCTGAGGGCGGTGGGTGACGGCCAGGAGGACACACGCTGCCCAGTGGCAGGTCTGGCCACCAGGGCCGAAGGGAGGCCGTGGTGCTGGGGCACCAGCACCACGGCGTCCCCAGACAGCCTAGGGGTCGGGGTCGAGGCGCTGTCTGTCCCCGGAGGAAGGAAGCACCAGGGCAGGGGCCAGCGATCTGGCCCGGACTGTCCTGGGGCTGCGCCCCCGTCGGTCTGCACCCGATGACTGCCTGCCATGCCCAGCACCCTGTCCTGCACCCCAGGGACCACCCGCTCCGCCTGCAGGGCCGTCTTGTGTCCAGAGTGGAGAAGGCAGTGTGACAGTGAGGCTTCCGCCCACGGGGAGGTCCAGAACACGGGTGGGTGGCGGTGGGGGCACTGTCGGGCCTCAGAGCAGGGCCACTGAGGAGTGTGTGCATGTGTGCAATGGGATGCATGCCTAGGAGCACATGTGTGTTCACATGTGCACACATGCTCTGTGGTTGCATACACGTGTGTGAGAGCATGTGCATGAGTGTGCAAGTGTGTGCGTGTGGCCGCGTGCACACATCTATGCATGTGACTATGAGCGCGTGCACACATGTGGGCACTGCCTGTGTGCAAGTGTGCATGCTTATGTGTGTGCTTGTGCACGAACATTCTCCGAACGCCCCCCCACCAGGTCCAGCGCTGGCCCCCTGGTCACTGAGGACACAGTCCACCCCTCGGCTGGGAAGGCGGAGCCTGAGATGCCGGCCCCGCCCCTGGCGCAGTTCAGGGAGCTAGAGGCAGCCGCAGTGGGTGCCCCGTCCACACGGCACTGGCCCTGCTCAAGTCCTGGGGCCCCAGCACGGCGGCCAGGAGGCCCCTGCAGAGCAGCCGCTGGCTCTGGAGCCGGAGAAGACCCTTCCCAGGACACACCCGGGCATGCCCAGTTCTCTCAGCCTTGGAAGGCTGACCAGCCTGGGGCTGACCAGGAGGGAACAGACACCCGTGGGGCAGCGTCGGGTCAGCACGGGGACCGACGGGGGCTCCTCCTTCTGGAACGAAGTGTGGCCGTGCGGAGCCTGTGGGCTGGGACCTGTGACAGTCCCCGCTCCCGCTGACACACAGGCTGTGGGGGTGCAGGCCGCGGCCAGTGGGAGCCGGAAAGGGGCCACGCCGCTCCCAGCCCTTGGCCACCTCCAGGAAGGACGAGCCACTCAACACAATGTCCACTGCCGTGTGGACTGTCCTAGAGCCGGCCACCATGGCCAGCCCGGGGGGAGGGGCTTCCCAGGCCCAGCCAGAGGCACCAGCTCTCAAGAGAGGTCACTCGGCCGTGAGCTGGGCACTGGGGTTGGCCCCCCACTGGCCGCTCACCGGTCACTCACTGGCCAGCCACTGTGGAGGTGGAGGAGCGGGCAAGGATGACACCAGCGCTGACCCTCCTCTAACACTACCACCACCAGGACTTCCGGGAGTTGCCTTGCAAAGGTTTCGCCTCAACACCGTAAACGTAACACGAATAAGTGAATGCTGGTTAAAAGCCAGTGCGGCTCTGCCCACTTGAGACGGCATTGTGAGTGTTTCCCCCTTGCCGCTGTTACTTCTCACGGACAGCCACATGGCCGCTGCCTGTCCACCACAGGGGGTCGCAGGACCACCCGTCTCCGGTTCCCTGTAGAGTAGAACGCCAGGGGCGAGGTCGGACAGCCAGTGCCCCAGGCAGGTGAGGAGCACACCTGGGCCCCCTGCGTACGCTGACTTCCCAGACCAGACCTGGGGAGGCGGTTGGCTCAGCCAGGAGCAGGGGGTGAGGGCCGGCCCCCAAGCTCTGCAGGCAGCCACATCCTCAGACCCCTTGGTGCCGCCCCTGGGGACACTGGGACCCCCTGGGCCGACACTCCAGGGTGGTCGAGGGGACCCCGCTCAGAGCTGCAGGGCCTCCCGCGGCCCCTCCTGGGCTGGACCCCACCTCCCTGTCCCTGCCAGCCGGCAGCTGCCTCCTGCGCAGCGGGAGCTGCTCCAGGGTCGGCGCTGGGGAGGCCGCTGTGTGCTCTGCACCTGCCCCAGGGAACTTGGGGGTGGTCTTCCGGCAGACGGGGGACCCTTGGTGGGACCGGGCCTAGCACCCAGGGAACAGAGGGAATATGGTCTTGACCGGGTGGATGGCCCTGGCTCTCAGAACCTGCGCCTGCCCGGGAGATGCCCTGGGGGTGAGCGAGAGGACAGGGCTGGACCCCGAACACCACCCCTGCCAGGCCCCCTTGCCCTGGGCAGCCCTGGGCTGGGCAGGAGCTGTCCTTGTGGGAAGGCAGGCGTGAGTCCTGGGTAAGCACTGACCGACCTGGGGCCAGCTCCGGGGGCCAGCTCTGAGCAGCCACCCACCGCTGTGGCCCAGGACGGGCCCTTCCTGACCTCTGAACTTGTGTGGCTGGGTCCCCACAGCACAGCCCGCCCACGGTGAGCAAGGCCTGGGGTGGGCACCGCCAGGAGAGGCCTGCAGGCGGACACCCCCCGCCCCACCCCCGCACTGCCCTGAGGAGGCAGGGTGGTCACGCTGCCCCCGAGGCTGGGGGAGCACAGGGCCCAGGGCCGCTGGCAGCCTGGACATCTGCTCAGCCTGGACGTCCGCTCAGCCTGGACGAGAGGCCACCCCCCGTCTCGGGCCTCGAGGAGAGCTGCCCTCCCGCGTCTTTCCAGCCCAGAGCCTCGGTACAGGAAGGTCCTCGGGGCTCCTCGTCCTGTAATCACGCCCCCGCCCGCCCCTATCGCACCATCAGCACACAGAGACCGGCGTCAGGAACTGTCCTCAGCCACTGGCCCAGCTCCCAGCTCGGGGCCCGCCCCACCCTCGGCACAGGGGACAGACGTCCAGAGGACCCTCACCCTCGCCTCCTGCCGGGTGGGACAGCTCTGCTCTCCGTCCTCAGGAAACCTGGAGTCCTCCAGCAAACGGTCAGGGGCCTGGACGCCCCCTCCCCGGCCCCGTGCCGGCCCCTCCCTGGCCAGTGGCCCTGCAGTGTGCCTCCTCAGCCGTGACAAGCCTCGCATGGCCTTTGTCCTGTAAGCCTCTACTGGCTAAATACACATCTGCCCAGGGCAGGGCTTGGCGCCCGGGACCCACAGTAACTGGGCCTAAAGCGGGAGGGCCCTTTCAGCGGGCCGCAGGGGCAGAAGCTGGGCCGCGGTACGGGGCCTCCCTTGGGGGCCGGAGGGCAGGGCTGGCTGGCTGGCGTGGGAGAAGGCCGGCCCAGGGGCACTGAGCTCTCCGGGTTCTGGGTTGGTCCCCCGCTGCTGCGTGAGAAACGCCCCGGCGCGGAGCCTGAGCGCGGCAGGTGGCTGCCAGCTTCCGTGGCTGGCGGGGCAGCGGGCGGCCATCGCCGTGCGGGACGGTGGCACTGTCTCGGCAGGACCCCCCGCCCCACCGGGCTGTCCCCCCGGTTGAGACCAGCTGCACCCCTTTCGGAAGCAACCTTGGAAGTGCCGTCCGGTCACTCCGGCCACACGTGCCCCTTCAGGGTGGTGAGTCCTGAGACGAGGACCCGCCCTCGGTGCCCGGGGCACAGCTGCCAGGTCCGGGCCGAGGCCCTCGGCGTTGCTTTGCTTTTGTCCTCGGAAGCCACCCATCCCGTGTGTGGGCCGGCCCGGCGCATGGCGAGCGGAGCGGGGGAGGCGGCGCGATCTGCTTCGACCTCCCTCCTTGGGCGGGACCGGGCCCCGCGCTGGGCTCCCCGCACCCGGTCCTGCGGGTGTCCCCTCAGCCTCTGCAGCCCGTTCCCTGCGTGCTCCCACCCGCTCGCTGTGCCGTCGACGCCGGACGTCACGGAGTCGCCCCCTGCAGCCCCTCCCCCGTGGCCGAGCCCGCGCTGCCCGGCACCAGCTTGGCGGGGCCTCGGTGCCGGCTTCCCGGTCGGGTGTGGCTGGGAGGGCCTTTGGGTGAGGGTGGTGTTTCAGTTGGGTGCCGAGTCCAGCCGGCCGCCCTCCCCTAGGGAGGCCCCCCCATCCGTCGGCTGGGTCCCTCCTGCCTGGTGGGCCTCCTCCTGCCCGCTGGCTCTCCCGGGTCCCCCCCCCCCCCCGCACCTTCCCAACCGCTGAGAATCCTAGCACGTTGCTCTGTCCCGCTGGTCCCGTTGCCGTGAGAACCTGGCGCACTCGCTGCACAGAGGGGGTATGGGTGGTCCCGTGGCCTTGGGTGGGGTCGGGGCATCCGCCCACCCCCGCGGCCCCCGGTCGGGTCAGTCAGAGGACCTGGGTGGGGACCCAGGAGTCGACCCGGACTGTCCTGGGGGTGGGGATGCGTGATCACAGGGGCTCTGAGACAGGAGGGCCTGGGGGAGCGGCCCAGGGGGTGTGCCGGCCAGTGCGATGCCTCCCTGCCATGCCGTGAGGGTTTGGGGGGCCCCAAGCAGCCATGATTTGGGGATTCCAGGGGCCTGGAATGTGGAGATCGAAGGCAAGGCCCCTCCCCCCCCCCCCCAAGGCTGCCTGGGTGCTGACCCCCGGAGCGCCGCGCTCCTCTGCGCAAGGGGCCCACGCTCACACCCTGGGGGCCTCGTCTCAGCACCTCCTCCCACTCGGGTCAGAAAGCCCTGGGCAGTGGGGGCGTGGGCAGCACTTGCACACCCCGGCCAGGCTGCTGGGTGGGGGCGCCCCCTGCAGGCGGCTAGAGGATTGCCACCCAGGGGCCTGCCCCTCCCCCATCTGTGGGCCCCCGGGCGCCGGCTGGGGACCAGGGTCCCCGTCACTGCCCCACAGGCAGCTGCGACCTGGCCGCCTCAGTCCACCACTGAGGCGGGGCTGTCTGTGGCTTGCTGACCACGGGCAGGAGGCTGGCTCCCCTCCGCAGGTTTGGCTGCTGAAGAAGGTTCCAGCAAGGCCAACAGCACTTGGAAGCCAGGCCCTGCCCCTCCAGCCCTGCAGCTGACTAGCGGCCTCTTCTCGAAATTCACCAGGTGACCCTTGGATCCTGGGGCTCGGTGCCCCCCCCAGCAGGCCTGGGCACACTGCTGTGGTCTGGGGTCCTGCCGGTGGCCGCTGGTGCGTGTGCCCCAGGCCGGGGCACCCAGCCAGGCTCCCCGCCAGAGTAGTGGCTTTTCCCTCATGAGGACCGGGGGCCGAAGCCAGCCGTGCAGCCCGGCCTGGGAAAGGGGCCTGGTCTGGAACGCCCGGGGTGGGGGGGACAGCCAGCCATTAAGGCCGCTCTCTAACCGGGGCGATGGATGGGGTAGCTGGTAACCGAGCCTCTCCCAGGGTCTGCCTGCAGCTGGGAGGAGCTAACCGCCTCCACCTGCCCCCCCCCCGGGCTGAGTCCCGCAGGGGTGGGGGCGGGGGCTCCGGGGGCTGGGTTACAAAGCCCTGCGGACGGACTGGGTCCTGGAGGGGAACCAGGGTCCTGAGCCAGCCCACGTCCCCACGAGCCCCAGCTCCGGGCACAGCTGTGTGGACGGTGAAGCGCCTTCCCGGCAACGTGTGGAAGGGGCGGCCCCAGGAACGAAGTGCAGGGAATTGGTCCCACCTGTGAGGGGCAGGGGAGCGAGGGGCTGAGCCCGGGCACGCCTCCACCTCGGACGGACCGCCTTCCCCGGGGGCAGCAGCAGAAAGGCCCGCAGCTGCTCAGGAGCCCCGGGAGGGGGTTGTTTTGCAGGCCCAGGCTCCTCTGGGGCAACCCCGGCCTCCGGAGCTGGCCCCGCGCTCCGCCGGCAGCTCCGTGCGGCCCCCCACTTCCTGCTGCTGCAGGCCACCCAGGGGCTGTGACGGCTCTGGACAAACTCCGCTACAGGAGCAAGCTGTGAGGAATGTCACGGGTTTCAGGAGGCAGGACGGAAACCAAAGACGTGGGGACTGTCCAGTCCAGATGGAGGCGGACCTCTTGAGTCCCCACCGGTGACCCCTTCCTGAAGTCGAGGCACTAGTGCCCTGTACTTGACTGCCGCCAGTCTCCTGTGTGACCCCGTGGCCACCCCAAACCGATATGCCGCGTCCCGCCCCCAGAAGCCCCCCTGCGACCGGCCCCTGCAGCCCCCAACCCGACACGAGCACCGTCCGTCCTCCGTGCCCGTGAGTTTGCCGCCTCAGGGACGGGAGACGGGTGAACTGCACAGCGTGGGACCTTGTGAAACTGGATTTTCCCTGCAAGTGCCCTGGAGACCCCCCAAGCTGTTGCCGGGAGCTGTCCGCGGTGTGGCCTCCCGAGGCCCAGGGCCGCCGCTTGGGGCTTGGTGACGCTGCACGCGCCCGTGTCTGCGGGGTCAGCACCCGGGACACGGCTGCTGGTCACGTGGAGAGTGGACCCCCCGTGTTTTCGGGTGCCGCCACGCAGCCTCCGGGAGCTTGCTCCACGTTCCCGCCCCCCAGCAGCTCCCCCCCGCCCCCCGGCTGCTGTTCCGATGGCTCGGATGGCTCGCGGTGATTCGGGGGGTTTCAGGTACATTTCCCTGGGTGGGGGGGCGTCTGCCTCCTGCGTGTGCTCTCCAGTGAGGTGTCTCTTGGTGTCTCTTCCCACCTGCACATGTTTTAAACTGCATTTACAAACACAACACATTCTATTTCCTTTCCCACTTCGTCTGAATTAACAAAACCTCAAGTAAAAGATGGACATCTAAATTCAACTTATACAAAGGTTTTCCCAAAGGTTCTCTTAAATTTTCCAACACTGTGCACCAGTTTAGTAGGATTTCGCCTTACATACCAAGTGCAGGTAACTTCCGGCACAGCGATGACCCCGCAGCGAAGCCCACCTGCCTCTGCACACACGACCCCAGCTTGACCCTCCCTCTCCTGCCCCCCCACCCATGGAGGATGTCTCCCAGGGCCAGAGGGCGCCCGCTGAGGGTCACGACCACCCGGTGGCCTGAGGCAGCACCCCCCACCCAGACACTGCTGCAGGGCTGGCCAGAGCCAGCTGCTCCCCCCACCCGCCGGGAACTCTCACTGAGCACCCGCCTGCCCCCGTCTCACGCCACCTGCCCGGTGGCCTTCAGGGACCGTCTCCGTGGGACCGCCGTGTGGTCGCCTGCATGTCTGTGTCCTCGGGAGAGTGAACAGTTTCCGTTTCAGCGGAGACACTTTTCTTCAGCACGATGAGCTCCCAAGAGGTGTCCTCACTCCCCCCTGACCCGATGGAACCTCGCGTGGGGCTGTGGGGAGTGGTCCAGAGACCCCTCTTGAGGTCCTGTCTGGGCCGCATGGGGTCACTGCCCGCCACCTTTACCCGAGGAAGACCTTTCCTCAGCTTCACCACTTGCCCTCCCCCACAACAGCTTCACAGGTCTCCTGGCCGCCCCCCGCCCCCGCCCCGGAGGGGCCGTGACCCTGCTGCCTCACAGGATGGGGATGGGACAGGCCTGCACAGCCCAGGCAGGTGCTCCGGGAAGGTGGGTGTCCAGGCGGGCCCTGCTGTGGCCCGAGCCCCAGCCCCACGGGTAGGAGCAGGCAGACCCCAGGGCCTGGCCGCGGGAGGGGACGGGGGACGCCTGTGCAGCAGGTCCAGGTCATGGCAGACACAGGTGGGATGAGCGCCGTCACCCAAGCACACAGCCCGAGGGCGGGGGTGGGGTGAGTGCCCTGCTCAGCTGGGACATCGCCTGTCCTGAGGACGCGCCCTGGGGACCAGGCCAGGCTGCGCTGGGCGCGGCTCAAGCCAGAGCCCGGCACCGTCCGCACAGCGGAGAGCCGGGGCGGAGGAGCTGCTGAGGGAGGCTGAGGGGCCAGGAGAGCGGCACGGTTTCGGGGACGGGGAGCGGGGGCGGCCACTGCTCGTGCTCAAAGGGGCGTGTTTCCCGGAGGGGCCGGGACCGGGCGTCTGGACGGGTGGGCGGGAGGTGAAAACTAAAGCGGAGACGGCCTTGTGCTTCTGGCCAAGATGGAGTTACCGGGACCCATCTCCACCCCTCCCCCAGCCGACACCCACACAGGATCCCGGCGGGGACCCCGGTTTCCAAGGCTCTGGCATCAGGCGACAAAGCGCAGTCGTTCCGAGAAATGCGCCCGACCGCCCCTCACCGCCCGCCTCGGCTCAGGGAGGGAGCGGCGGGCCCGGGGACCCTCCGGCAGAGGCAGGCACCAGGCCTGCAGGGCCCAGGGGGCAGCTGCGTGTGCCCCCCCGACCCCCGGGGCTCCGGCAGAGAGCCCGGAGGGCCTTGCTGAGCACGGGGACCCGTGCGTCCCCGGATGAGCACTGCTCCAGACCCCTCGAAGAAAGGCCCCAGGGGGAGACCCCCTCCCACTCCCTCCTGCACGTGGCAGGGCAACGCTCAGGGCGCCGCGGAGTCCAGAACTGTCCCGCCCCAGCAAGGTGAAGGTCCCAGCTGGCAGCCCTTCAGAGATCGCAAATGCCCCAAAGCAGACAGACAGCCGCCCTGAAGAAGCTGAAGGCTGAGAACCTCCTCACCAGGAAAACCCCAGCTCCGGGAGGCTTCTCGGGCACGCACGGGATGGAGGGGACAGGAGGACAGTGACAGCATGACAGCACGGAGGAGGGGCCGCCGCCCCGATGGCGGGACGAAGGGTCCCGAGAAAACCACGGCCGTGTCCCTCACAACGCAGACGCAAAGGTCCTTGGCAAATTAGCTCTCGGCTCAGACAGTCTGGGCAAGCTGCGCACTGTGAAGGGGCCGGTGGGGGGAGTGTCTCCCCGGGGATGGGGGGCCAGCTCACCGTGAGGAAACCAAAGGAGCTCACTGCGTGGACGGACCGAAAGAGAAAAACCTGGGACCATCTGGATAGATTTTTTAAAAAAATGTTTGACACCACCCTTCCTGATTAAGAACAAAAACCAAAACCCCTCTCAGCCCTGCAGGAGTGGGGGGAACTTCCTCATCTTAGGGGGGCTGGGTTCCCTGGGGGCCGGGGCCTGAGGGAGGGGTGGGATTTCCCAGCAGAGCTGCCGGTGGGGCCGGGGTCCCGCAGGGCTTCCAGAAACTCCCGCACATAACAAGTTAGGGACCGCATTACTGCTCACTCGGGGACTTTGTAGGACAAACTCCAGCCCCAAACTTTCACGAGGGCCCTGTAAGGAGACTCCTCGGAACCTCGGCCCGGCTGCACCCACCAGCCCGAAACCGCCATGGGGCCCTTCCCCAGTGCTGGCCAAGCCCCCTCCTCGCTGAGTGCGCCCCCGCCCAGGCCCAGGCCCAGGCCCGCAGAGCACTGGGCATCCTCTCGCCAGCAGGTTTCTGGGGGCCCGTACCCGACATTTCCGGGAAGTGCTGGCGTGGAAACGTCACCTCTGATGTGAGATGACACTGGGGAGGGTTGGGGCTGAGGCGGCAGCCTCGGCAAAACGCCCCCCATGCGCTGGGAACCACCGCGTCCACTGCTTCGGAAAACCACCCAGGCCGTGGCGGCTGCTCCTGGGCAGGTGGAGCGGTGTCGCCCTGCGACGCAGACGCACGCGCAGCAGGCCGGGCACCCGGGGAGCCGCTTCGCAGACTGCAGAGCGGGTGCTGCCTGGCAGGCGGAAATCGGGGCTCTCAGGCGCCCCACACGCCACAGGTCCGGGGTTGCTCCTGATCGCACCGGCCCCCGAGCGATCACATTCCCAGGCACAACTCGGCTCCCGGGTGTCTCTGCCGCTGCTGCCAGAGCCACTGTCCTGAAACCCTGCTGCTGGCAGCAGCCTTCTCGTCCTGGGCGCTCACACCCGAGTTTCTGGTGGGTGGACACAGGGTGTCTCCAGACCTGGAGACACATCAGCTGGGGCCAGAGGCCCCAGGGGCATCCTGGACTCAGACCTCCGGCTTCCCACGAGAGAAGCTCAGCAACTGCTGTCGTCCAGAAGAGAAGGCACAGGCGGCTCTCCCTGGGGACACAACACCCTTGCTTGGGGGACAGCCCCCACCCCTTTCAAGACTGGTGCTCTGTGTCCGCTGAGCACGCAGGGTATTCACACTGGGGACACATGTCCTGAGACAGCACCACGACAGAAGGAGGACCTGCAGGACTCGGCCAGGTGGCCCACACTTGCAGCTCCTCGCCCTGACCAGCACCTGGCTGGTGCCCACACGACCTCAGGGATGCCGACAGGATGCACAGCTGTCACGAGCACACATCCGACTTGACCCACTGAGAGATGGTGACTTCTGCAAAGCACGCAGTAGCAGTGTTTGTTTTGTTCTGTCCAGCGTGGCTCAGTGGCAGAGCCTGAGGCCACACACACACGCATTCCGCCTGCCTCAGCGTTGGCACGAAGCCAGCCCAGGGTGCTGGTCCTCTCACCTAGACCTGGCGGCCTTTGGGGCCGAGTGGGGAGCGCCCAGGGGTCCATGAGGTGGAGTTCCCGCGGGAAGAGGAACCGGTCCCATCAGCTCCACCAGCGGAAAGGAACCAAGGTCACACCTGCCTGCCCACACTCACAGGAAGTGGGTAAGTGCGTGCAGGGAGTCCTGCAGAGTGCGTGTGAGTCCATGCACCGCGTGGATGTCCTTCCTGGCCCAGGCCAAGGCCACAGATCTCTCTGCTCCGATTCCCCAGCCCACGCACTGCTCTCAAAGCAGCGGCCCTTGGGGAAAACCGGCTCCACCCAACGGCACAGAGCAGCCCTGGTGACCTTTCCTGCCAGCTGTGCTCCGTGGGTCAACCACTAGGGAAGGTAGAACCGTGCGGGGCACGGAACGGGCAGCGGCCGGCCTCGCTCTTTTCTCCCAGAAGCTCCCTGGCACACACCCGCCCCTCGGGGCCAGCTTTGCACGCCCTAAAGGTGTTTGCCGGGAAATCCTGTTTAACCCTGACCCCACAAAGGCTCGACATCACCCCAAGAGTAGTAGCCCTGGGCTGCGAGACAGCCCGGGAACAAAGTTCCTTCCGCAACCTCCCATCAGGAGTTGCCCGCAGGGAAAACCCCGCCCGGCCGCCGCGCGGACCGCGCTGGCGCGCGGCCCGGCGTCGGGGCGTCGGGGCCGGAGCGGGCAGGTCTGCGCTCTGCAGGAGGCGTCGTTAGCAGACGTCGGGCGTCACGGAGGCGCTCGGCTGGAAAGCAGGTCCGTCTGCGGGCTCTGCGGTACCCCCAGGCGGCGGCGTCTCCAGCCACGTGAGCGGCACCGTGGGTCCCACTTGCCGTCACTTTCTCGAGTCCCGTCAAGGGGCAGAGGCGCCCAGGGCCGCGTAGGCCAGAGGCCGGAGCTCTCCATCCCCACTCAAGACCACAGACAGACACCACCAACGCCGTCGCCCCGCGGGCGGACCTGCTGTCAGCATTTCGCAGCAGCCTCCACTAAGCGAGAGACGGGCCGAGACAAAAGATCCGGGGCTTCCTCTCGCAAGGAGCGCCGCGCGGACAGCAGGGGGACCAGAACCAACAGCCCGGTTTGTCTGGGCGGACACAGCGCGGCCCAGAACGCGGCTTTCCGGCGCCTCTATTGGCCTGTTGCAGCCAACCTTTCCGGTCTCCTAGCAACTCCCAAGATGGCCTGCGCGCGAGGGATCCTGGGCAGTGTCGTCCCTTCCCTAACTCCGTAGTCCACTCCAGGGCCGGGAGCCTGGGACCGAGGAGTCCTAGACTACACTTCCCAGATCGCTCCGCGCGCGCCTTCTACGGCCTCGCGAGCACCCTGTGCCGGAACCCACCTGGCGAGAGTTAGCTCTCGCACGGACCGCCGGGATGTGTAGTTTTGGTCTGGGAGTCTCGCGCCCTAGAACCTGGGCTGCGGCAGCGGAGAGACTACAAGTCCCAGGGGTTACGGCGCGACCGCCTGGAGGGCGGGGGGTACGAAAGAGGAACCCAAAGGGCGCGGGGGTGAGTGAGGGGCTGGGGGCGGGCGGGCTGCGGGGGCCGCGGGGACCGCGGGGACTGGGGGCTTAGGAGCGGCCCTAGGAGCGCGACGCCCGGGTGGGGCAGTCTCGGTGGGGGGCGGGGCGCGGAGGCCGGACAAAAATCCACGGGGACCCCAGAACGACCGGATCCCCGGGCGTCGTGGCCCGAGGGAGCCCCCGTCCCCGGACCGGGAACCCCGTCCCCGAACCGCCTCCCCACGCGTCCGGCCGCCCTGGACCGTCCGGGACCGGACGGGCCTCCTCTCAGAGGTTAGCGCCTCCATCGCTGCGAAATAACGCAGGTGTAGCCGTGACGCAGGTGTCCCCGTCGCATTGGAGCGGTGTCGCCGAAACGCTGTAATAGATGTTTTAGTTCCGGTGTGATCTGAGACCAGGTGGCTCGGGTCCGTCTTGTACAGCGTTTCCAGGAACAGCGTTCTGGCAACTACAGCGTCTGCCCCCGAAGCTGCTTTGTGGCTGCTATTAACCGCCGCGTCCCAGCGAATGCGCGCTTGTTTGCGTTGTTCTCAGTGTCGCCGCCGCGAACGGAGGACGCACCCTTGGTCTGTCCCTGTTGGGCTTCGGGGTCCAGCCGGGGTCCTAATGCCGGCTTGTTCACAGAAGCTTGTTTCTAGACGAAAATAGTCTGGATCGTGCAGAAAGCTGCTTTCCCTAGCACGTGCACACCCCGTTCCGCCCCGCCCGTTCCTCCCGAAGGCAGAGCCAAGGGACGACTTGGTGGGGGGAGAAGCGGACTAGGTTAGAGTTAGCCCTGCAACCAGCTGGCAGACTGCCATGCCCCGTGCGCAGGCGCGCGGTCCCGGTGGTCGCCCGGTGGGGCCCCCCCGCAGCCTGTGCACGTGGTTGTCCTGCCAGCACCTAGCCCCTGACCGGCTGACTGCAGGTCGCCCCCTCCCCCCAGTTACCTTCACGTGGGACTCGATTAGAATCCCCGTGACCTGAGGATGCTTCATTGAAAGCAGCTCTTCGCAGGAAGAACAGGCGCTTGAAAGACCGTGCACCAGTCGTTCAACTTAAACTCTCAGATTCCCCACGACCTTGCAGAAATGGTTTCATCCAGTTGTGTAGCTTTCTGGCCCCACTAGGGTTTCAGAACGGAAAGTGAACTGCGTTTACTCAGTTGGTTCTGAGGTGTGATTCCCATCAGTGACGAGCAGTGCAGGCTGACGGGTTTAGGCAGATGCGTCCAGCTGTGTTACCTGCACCCCCGTCACGCTGGAAAACGTTCTGTCGCCCCTGAAGGTCCCCTCCTGTGGGCTGAAGGCTTGTGTCCCTGAGTCCCCGAGTCGAAGCCCTGACGCTGTGTGAGGGTGCAGGGGGGGCCTGGGGAGGCGCCTAGGGTGACCTGAGGTCAGAAGGGTGGGTCCTGGTGGGGCAGTGCCCTGCTAAGAGGGGAGGGACCCCTGTCCCTGCTCACGCTCCCTGGAGAGGCCACGCAAGGACCTCCTGCCCCCGAACCGTGAGAAACAGGCGTGGTCTCTGCCGGCCTCGGGGGGAGCCGGGGGTTCCTCCTGTTTGGCTCCTGCCGTGGAGGTGGTGCACGTTCCTGAGCCTGTTTCCTGTGATGGGTTCCCACTGCCCTGGGGCAGATGCCCGGTGGAGGGGCCCTGCCTGGAGCTCACTGACCTGAGCCCTCCTGGCCGCTTCGAGGCCTGGGCACCCCTTTTCAGGAGTGCCCGGTCCAGCCTCTGCCTTTCCCCAAACTACTGAGCCGTGAGGCTCAACAGATGTGTTGCAAGTGTCACCTCCCCTTCTCTGATCTGCCAGTTCCTTTTGTTAATGGTCTGCAGCGTTTTTAAAACGGCCTCCAGAAATCCTGGAGTAGGTCCAGATTCCAGGAAAGCTGCAGGCAGCTCCGGGCGTCCGGACCGGAGCCCTGGGCGGACCCCGGCGCATGCGTCGACACTCAGGAGCAGCGTGGGACGCCGCTGCCTCCCGCGGCCTGGACGCCGGGGGTCCTGAGCTACCTGCCCCTCCCCCTGCCCAGCCCGTGCAGGATGCCACACGTCTCCTTTGCCCCCCTGCTCTGTGGCAGCGTCTCGGCCCCTCCTGGGTCGGCATGGCCGCTTTTTGGAGACGGCTCCGGTGTTTTGTAGAGCACCCCTCACGTTGGGCTTGTCTCATGTGTGTTCTCCGGTGACATCAGGGTTGTGGGTGTGTGGGGACAGCACCCCGCAGGTGAGGTGGCCCCCACTGCATGATATCAGGGGCACCTGACGCCTGCACGACATTCCGGGGGTGTCGTCCGGAGTCACCTGGGTCAGGTGGTGTCACCAGTGGAGTTGCTCTGCGTCCTGTCCCTCCTGCCCCTCCTGGCACCGAGGGACCGGACCCTGTGTCCCGTGTGGAGGTTTGTGGGGGCCGCCCTCCCCTGACGTCTGTCCCTGTGGACTCACGGGTGTTGTCCCAGCCGCTCGTGCTGCTGCTCGCAGCGCCCGGCCTTGGCCTCTGCGTCCCTGGGACGTGCCGCCATCCCGCTGGCCTTGAGCGCTGAACAGAAACGGTGTTTTGTGACTCAGTGTGGCCCTGGGGGTGCCTCTCACCGGAGAGTGCTCGGAAGGGCCCCGACTCCTGGGCTCTCCCATGAAGCAGGAAAGGAGGTCCCTACGTGGACGGTTCAGGTCCCACCCTGCAGCAGGGGGGCTGCTGCGTGCATGGCATCAGCAGCTGCCAGGCGAAGAGAAGCAACTCACTGCAGAAAGGGGGTTCCTCAGGGAAGGGCGAGGGGGCGGTGCTGAACAGGCCAGAGAGGAGGAGGTTCTGTCGCTGCTCAGGACCGCTCCCCGATGTGTGCATGTGTCCCGCCCCGTCCCCTCCCCGCCCCTCCAGGAGGCTGGCCCTGGCCCTGGGCAGTGGGCCCTCCCCCAGGGCCCTCCAGGCAGGAACCCTCGGTCCCTTGCCCGCCCCAGATGCACTGTCTTCGCTCCCCTGGGAGGGAGGCAGTTCCCCGGGGGTTGCTGCTGTGGGCTCTGCCTCTCGGACCGAAACTGCCTGCCCGGCTGCCCCTCAGCTGCTTTCGTCAAGTGCAGGGTTTTCTCAGAGGTGACTGATGTGTGAAACACTGGCCTGGCTGTGTCTGAGGCGGACGTGACTGTGGTCACCGCCCGAGAGTGGACAGCAGTTTGCTCAGACTGGCAATTTGCCTCAGGGACGTGCAGGTCGGCTTACGGAGCAACGTGACCGTGACGACAGCTCAGGCCCCAGCCGGTGGGGGACGGCACGAGGTGACAGTGGCCAGGCCCGTCTGGGCTCACGTGCAGGGACTGTTCATCCCGCCCGCCCGCCGGCCCCACCTCCGCTCCGGCCCTCCTCCGGGGAGCTGCTGGGGGTGCGGTCCAGAGCCCAGGTCAGATGGTCCCCCTGCCGGCCGGCTCCCTGCGGGAAGCCCATCGAGGCCCTGCCTGGCTTGGCTGCAGAGTGACCCTCGGGTGCCTTGACTCCCCAGCCTCGCACCAGCAGGACTCAGGCCACAGGACTCCCAGCAGCTTGGCAGTCCTGGCCGCTGAGCGCTGGGCGGGTGGGAGCTGGACGTCTGCCACTGGCGTCCCGGAGGGCAAGGGAGGCCCCCCGCCCCCCAGCCCCGTGGTCCCCCAGCGCCCCTCTCTGTTGCAGACCCCGACTCCGGGACATGGCGCTCCAGCGTGCCGTCCTCCTGGCCGGCCTCCTGGCGGAAGTCGCCGGCAAGTCCTCAGAGAGCGTGGTAGGTGCCAGGAAGGCAGGCTGGAGCCATCCAGCCCCAGCCCCCCATGGAGGTGGGGCCCTTCCCCTGCGGTCTCGCCCCCAGGTCCCGCGTGAGCCGCCCGCCCGCGGGGCCTGGATGCTGACTGCCGTCTCCCTCCAGGGCCAGCAGCCCGAGTGTTGTGTGGACGTGGTGGACTCCAACACCACCTGCCCGGGCACGAGCCTGTGCGGCCCAGGTAGGCACTTCGGCGTGAGCTGGCGGAGGCCAGCCCCGGGGGTGGCTCTGTCAAGCTGCCCACGTCCAGCGGGGACCAGGAGGGTGCTGGGAGGGGAGTGGGAGGGGCAGGCCCCATGCAAGCCTCCCTCCCTGCCGCTTCATCCCGGGCGGCGCGGGCCGTGGGGAGACTGGCGCCAAGCAGTGGGGGTCGGGGGTGCAGGGAGGCCGGACCCTGGCTCTGCCCCTGGGAGTCCCGGCTGGGCCCTCGGACGGGGCCGGTGGGGGAGACTGATGGGGTGGCAGTCAGAGCGGCGTGAGCACGTGCGTCCAACATGGAGCCCTCGTGGTGTGTGGGGGGGGTGAGAGCGCCCTTCCTGCACCTGCGTCTGCGTCTGCGTCTGCACCTGTGTCTACACCTGCGCGTCTGAGTGTCTTGTGCTGAAGGCAATGCTTACGTCCAAGAGGCACACTTCGCGGCGATGAATGCCGGCTCCCGTCCGCCCTGCACTTGGAACCAGGAGTCGGCAGCCGTGGAGGCACAAGCAGGCGGGAGCCGCTCAGGGCGCTGTCCCACCGCACAGGGCAGCCTCGGTCCCCGGGAGGTGCAGCGGGGGGGCCCCCTCTAGTGAGGCCTCTGTGGTGGGGCTGGCAGGTGGAAGGCGCCCCGTGGGAGGCGCCTTCACGGAAACAGAGGGGGACTGAGGGCTGACCCAGACTGGAGCCCGAGGGCGGCCCGCTGAGACAACGTCCAGGTGGGGCCGGCCTGAGGACGGGGTGGCCATCTGCGACGGACTCCTGGTCCGTCACTCAGCTGTCTGGTGGTAGTGGCCCTGGGGTCCTCGTGCCCTTTGTGAGCAGCCCACCCGGCAGCCGGCACGAAGGGTGTCCCATGGGACCTGCCGAGGTGACTCCAGGTTGCCCAGCCTCGGTGTGCAGGGCTCCAGGCGGAGGGCAGCTCAGTTCTCGGTGACTCCCGGCCCGGGACGGGAGGCAGGTGTGGGGGGGGGGGCTAGGGAGGCCCACCCGGTCCAGCCCGCAGGCGGGTACCCCTCCGACGGGAGCAGGCCCGGCCTCCCGTGGGCACTCGGGCGCAGCGGGGCTGCTGCTGCGGCGCAGTTTTTCCCTCGCCCGGCTGCCGCAGGCGGCCCCGGGAGGACCGACCTGCTCCCGGAGGCCGCCTGGCCGGGCCTGGCCGCGGGCTGAGCGCCCCGTGAGCGCGGCGGGAGCTGCGATGCCGTGCGAGCTCCTCTCGGCCTGCGAGGCGGGGCCTTTTCACGGGAATCCCGCAGCAGACTTCTGAAAGCCAACCGGGGACTCGTCCTCGGGCGTCTCGGGCAGGGCCGTCGATCTGGGTGGGCCCCTGGCCTGCAGGTCCCCCGGTGTCTGTCTGCAAGGTCCTGACCCTGCTTGGAGGTGGCCACCCTCGCCGGCCAAGCAGGTCCCGGGGGTTTTGGAAGCGCCCGCTGGCTCCAGCACCAGCCTTGGCGCCTGAAGCGCGTCTGGCCCCGGCGCTCCGGCCCTGCCTTGTCCCTGCACTCAGCAGCGCAGCTGGGGCTTCCCGGGGAGGCGCCGCCTCGTCACCAGGCCCAGTCCCGGGCCGCCTGGGGTCCCACGGGGCCCATCCGGGCACGGCCTCTCGGGGGCTCCCGTGGGTCCTGGCTGTGCCGTCGCCCTCCAGGCCCTGCCGTCGCCCTCCAGGCCCTGCTGCTGCTTGGTGTCACAGCAGAATGGCCTTCCTCTTGCGCTGGCCATCTGCGTGGGCTAAACGTCTGAAGTCCTTTGTGGGGGCCTGTGGCCTCCCTGGACACAGCCACACCAGCACTGGCGTTTGGCACCTGCACTCAGACTGGGCCGGGCACGCTTGCTCCGCCTCTGTGCCGAGTGTTGGGAATGTTGAGAAATAATAATGGGCCTGGCTGGGGTGGCTCAGGGGATTGAGCGTGGGCTGTGACCCAAAGGGTCGCCGGTTGGATTCCCAGTCAGGGCACGTGCCTGGGTTGTGGGCCAGGTCCCCAATGGGAGATGCATGAGAGGCAACCACACGTTGATGTTTCCCTCCCTGGGAGAGAGAGAAACTTCTAGCATGGTATCTTAATATCCACCACGATAGTTATGGTCATCATAGCCATAATAATCATAATAATCTTCATATCCATAATAATCTGGAGGATATCCATAATCTGGGAGGGTGCAGCTGGCAAGACGACTGTCCGTCAGTCACGGGCCGGGGAGAGCTGGTCTGCTCCCCGCCCCGGGGCAGGGGGCAGCTGGTGGCGGGGCGGTGTGGGTGGGAGGGGGGTCTGAGTGTGAGTGTGCTGGGACCCCGGGGAGGGGCGGGCTGCAGAGCCAGGTCACACCGGCCTGAGCGAGGGCCGCAAGCCCCAGGGGGAGGCGCTGAGCCTGGCAGCCAGGGCCGCGGAGGCGGGAGGCCCTGTCTCGAGTGCGACAGGACGGCCTAACTGGCGCCCGGGATGAAAACCTGCACGGACGGACGCTGCGGGCGCTCGGCCGGCGGGTGGCGAGCTGAGCCGTCTCCCTCTGCTTCTGCCGCCCAGGCTGTTTCCGGCGCCGGAACGAGGACGGGAGTGCCAGCTGCGTCCGGTGCCACGGCGGGCCCCACAACGGCTCCGAGTGCAGAAGCCGTAGGTCGCTGTCCGCCGCCACCCCCCCCACCCCCCCGCCCCGACCCCCACCCGGCCTGCTCCGCACCGAGTCCACATCCCCCGGTTCTGGAGGGACGGGTGGGGGTCGCCCTTCCCGCCCGACTCCCCCTGAGTCTCGTGTCCGATCCGGACAACTGCAGGCTGAGGGCTGCGCTGCCTCCGTGGTCACCCTTTCTTGTCACTCCCTTGGCGGCCGTGTCTCTGGCTCCCCGGGGGTCCTCGTGGGGTCCCCACGTGAGGCCCAGCATTAACAGGCGTGTTCCCCGCAGCTGCTGGCCAGGGCACACAGCCCCCCGTGAACCGGAACACGGGGGCGCCCGGACAGCCAAGTCTGGGTGAGTGTCCCTGCTCCCCAGACCAGAGCGGGGCCTCTGTGCGGGTCGTGGGGATGGGGGTGCGGGGTGTCCTCAGAGCTGTGCCCGGTGCAGACAGACCACCCTGCCTGAGTGCTGCCCCGGGGGAGCGCTGGACAGTCCCAGCGGGCGGAAGCCCTTACAGCATGCGTCGCTGCCCCTACCTCCCTCCCAGCACTCCCAGCCCTTGGTCCGTGGGGACCCAGGGCATGTGGTTCTCCGGAGATCGGGGGGCAGGCCCTCCCGCCTGCCCCCAGGGCTCTTCCAGGACGTGGGGCTGGGGGGGCTGCAGACACTGCCCCAGACAAGTGCCCTCACCTCCTGGGCAGGCTGCGGGGCATCCGTCCTGCCTGAGACGACTGGTGGGGCTGCTGCAGGCAGGTGTGACGGTGCTTGGTTAGGAGGGTCGTGTCCCCTAGGGCCTGCTTCCTGGGCACCTGGACTGAGGACCCTGTGCTGACCCAGACCACGGAGCAGCTGAGTTTAGGGTGGGGTCTGCCCACAGCCCCGCCTCCTGTCCCCCAGGGCCGGGCCAGCGGCAAGGGTGGCGGCTGCAGGAGGGGCTGCACACACCTGGCCCCGGTGCAGCGGGTTTGGAGCAGACACACCTGCCGACCTGCTGGGAGACCCCCTCCTGGCTGCTCGGCCCAGGGCTGTGCAGGGGCTGCTGACGCGCTGCCCTTGCCTGCAGGGGGCCCTCAGGTGGCAGCCTCTCTCTTCCTGGGGACCTTCTTCCTCAGTTCCAGCCTCATCCTCTCGGTGGCTGGCTTCTTCTACCTCAAGCGCGCCAGCAAACTGCCCAGGCTCTGCTACGGAAGGAACAAAGGTGCTCGTCCCCGCCCCGGCGGCCGGCTCCTGCCCAGCCAGGGGCTCCTGGGCAGCAGCCCCCCACGAGGCCCCGAGCGCTGCCTGGCAGACCCGGGGGGAGGGGCTGTGCTGGCCCAGGGGTGCGGCCCTCTTGGGGTCTCCACGGAAAGGGTGCTGCTGTGACTCCACACGCTGGGCCTGGACACCGGCCCTGCTTCCGGAGGACAGGGGTGTCACCCCTGCTGTGCCCTTCAGGGTGCCCAGCAGGTGGGCGGCCAGCAGACCAGACTCCTCAGCAGACAGGGCCAGTGGGTCACACCCGCCGCCGCCTGCATCGCCACTGGGCATTTGGGTGGAGCTGCTGCAGCTCCCTGTCCTGAGCGGGGGCTCTGGCCTCCCCCACCTCCCAGGATGGGGGCTCTGGGGTCCGCGCTGGGAGCCGCTGGCCGTGGTGGGCACAGGTCTCAGTGTGTGCGCTGTGCAGGGGCCGCTCGGTGCCCACTTCCCGCTACCCCAGAGCAGTCCTTGCTTGGCCCCAGGAGTCACGGCCCTGGGAGTGGCCAGGGTGGTGGTGGTGGGGGTGGTCCCCCTGAGGCCCCTAGTGGGGAGCCCAGAAGGGCAGCTCGCACGGTGTGGCGGCCTGGTGGCCTGGAGGAGCACCCTGAGGGCTGGCTGGTCTCTGCTGAGAGCGGGGAGCTGGGGCCTGGGGGCGGCTCCTCCAGGGGCTGGGGCTGGGGCGGGGTGTGTGGCCGGGCCTAGGGCACTGCTAGGCAGTGGTGTGGAGGGACCCCTACCTGCCCAGTCCCACGTGACCCCTGTGCTCTCCCCCACAGCCCCGGCCCTGCAGCCTGGCGAAGCCGTAAGTAACCCCGGTGGGCTGGGTGCCCTGTGCCCTGCGGGGCCCTGCCCTCTCACTGTCCTTTCCTTTCAAGGCCGCGATGATCCCCCCACCACAGTCCTCAGGTACGTCGGCTCTTACTGCCCTCACCTGCTGGGATCCCTTGTCTCTGGGGGAGAATTTCAAAACGCCGGGGCTCAGCTGCCCCCGTGGGGCCGCCACTGGGACAGCTGGGACCGCCGGGGACTTGGGCTCGGTGGTGTCTGTCCCCACGTCCCCCACCCCAGTTGCTCGGGACGCCGGCCAGTCCCCTTCGTTGGCCACAGCCCGTGTGCCTCTTCCCTTTCGTTCCCGGGATGTTGGGTCCGCGGAAGCAGGAGGAGGACCCCCAGCATGGGGTCAGGGGTCACCCCTGCCACCCTCACTGGCCCCTTCACTGAGCCCCAGCCCTACCTGAGTGGCGGGCGCCCGGCCTTCTGGGTCCCCGCCCCCAGGGATGGGGGTTTGTTTTACCGTGTCAGGCGTGTGCAGCCTCAGCAGGCGGTGCCGCGAGCACCGCGGTCACCCAGCCTTGGCCGTGAGCCTTTGCCCGCCCCTGTTCTCCCACTGTTGGGAGGGTTGTGGCCGGGAGAGGAGAGGCCGCGCCACTCTGGGGGACAGAGAAGCCGCTGGATCCAGGCCAGACCGGCTGTGTTCCCCGGAGCGCTCGTCCCCGGCCCCTGAAGCGGCCGGCCGGCAGCACCTCCCGTTTCCCGCGGCCCCCGCGTGCGTCTCCCAGGGCGGCCCCCGCGCACGGCCCGCCGGGCAGAGTCAGGGATGGAGCTGGGGGTGCCCCCTCCGAGGCTCCCAGCGGTGGGGTCCTTCCTGCCTTCCCAGCCCCGGTGGCTCAGGCGTCCCCGGGCTTGTGGCCCCTTGTGAGGACCCTGGTCCCTGGAGTTAGGGTTCCCTGGAGGACCCAGGGGGACCTCAGCTCATGTCCCCCAACTTCGTCACAACTGCACCAACCCTGTTCCCAAGTGAGGTCACATTGCGGGTTCTGGGGCCAAGACTGCAGACACATCTGGAGACCACCATGCACCCTGTGGTGCACCCTGTGACCTGTGGCTCTGGGTCCTGGGTGTGGCAGGTGCTACCCAGGCTGTGGTGCGGGGGGTGTTGCGGGGGGGGGTGGGGGATGGGGACAGCCTGCGTCCATCGCGAAGCTCTCTGCTGCAGTGACCCCACTCGGGGGCAGGCCGAGTGGGGTGTGCCCCCGTCCCAGACCCTGCACTCACCCCCCCCCCCACCTCCCACCCTGTTTCAGTGCGGAAGCCACGCTACGTCAGGCGGGAGAGGCCCTCGGACAGGGGCGCGGGCCCCGCCGCTGTCTCCTTGGTGGAGGCCCGGGTCAGCAACGTCTGACCCCGAGGCTCACCCGCAGCTCTGCACGCCGCCGAGGAGGAGGCCCCGACCACACGGCCGGGCTCTGTCCCGGGAGGCTTCCGGACAGTCCTGGACTTGCCCCGGCCCAGCCCTCGTCTCCCAGCAATGGGCGCTGCCGAGCGGGAACCGGGGGCTCCTGAAGAGGCTGCGCTGCCGAGCCAGGCCGCGAGGGAGGCCACGAGGGCCGCGGCCCCGGGACGGACAGCCCAGCGGGCAGACACCTGTCCAAGGGCAGTGAGGCAGAGGCCTTGGGGCGTCCCAGCCGGTGCCCGGACTGGGGTGGAGGACAGGGGCTCAGCACCAGCCCTGGAGGCCGAGACCCCCGAGCCTGTGAGCCCTCGTTTCCAGGAGCCGCGGGAGCGAGTCGCCGGGGTCCTGGGGGTTTCTGTCTGTGAGCGAGGTGCGTTTGTGGAAGCGCCTGGGCCCGACGCACGGCGGGCTTTGCCCACCCAGGACGGCACTGCCTGCAGCTGCAGGGACCACGGCTCCCGCGGAAGGCGTGTTTGGGGCCGTCCTTCCCAGACCCTCAGCCGAGGTCCGCACTCGCGCCCTCGGAGTCTGGTCCAGGTCCGAGGAGCCCGAGACGGGGCTCGCGCAGTCGGCCGCCCGCGCCCTCCGTGTGGCGGCGCCGGCTCCAGTGCGCACACGCGTGTGCGTCCTCCCGTCCGGCGGCAGAGAGGGCAGGCGCCCTGACACCGCGTCCAATAAACTCCTGGGCTTCCCCTTCCTGTCCTTGCGGCTCCAGCTTCGTCTGCCCCTGAGCGGGAGCAGCCCCACCGTCCAGAGCAGCTTCCCCCCGCTGGGGCGGGGGCGGGGGCATGGAGGGCCCTCGACAAGGACCGGGACACCCCCGCCCGAAAGCCTGCGCAGAGGCCAGGGCAGGCGCCCGCACACGGCCCGCACACTGCCCCCACCTTCTGGGACGCCCGCCGTTCCTGGGAGAAGGGGGCTTGTCCTCACCTGCCTCAGGCGGGTAGGACAACCCAGCGGCCCCCAGCCGGCAAACCTGCGACCGGAGGTGTAGCTGCTGCTCAGGGGGCTCTTGTGCAGCCCGAGCGGGCCTGCTGGGGAGTGTGTGCAGCTCAGGGGTGGCCCCAGGCCCCTGCACAGACAGGATGCCCACGGGCCCCAGGAGGAAGCGACAGGTGGGCGGAGTGCCAGCCGGAGGGGCCGCTGAGCCTGGGGGCGTCGGCTGACTTGCAGTGGGCGGCCTGGCCAAGGAGGGCCCAGGGTTTCCCCCCAGAGCCAGCAGGACTGAGCTGCCGCCGCCTCACGGCCCTGCCCTGGTGGGGGCGGCAGAGAGCCACCCCCAGGCCTGGCTGCGGCTGCCGTCACCTCGCTGCCAGCTCACCCGTCCCTGGGAGCCCTGCTCTGAGGTCATGGCCATCGGCTAGCTGGGGGAGCGTCTGCGGGACGCGGTGGGCATGGAGCATGCTCACACCCCAGGGGCTGCGGGACGGCTCCCTGAGCTCTGTCCCGTGTTCTGGGCACCGCGCTCCGGGCACTGCCTGCCCGCCTGTGACCACCAGCCTCCCCGGGGCCAGGCCCGGGCAGGGGGGCAGTCACCTGCCCCTGCAGCGCCCGGGGCTGGGAGGGCAGCCTGGCCGGACGGAACCAGGCTCGGGGCGGGGCCCCAAGAGGACGAGCCCTGGTGGAGATGGGCAGGAAGGGGTGCTGAGAGGAGCAGCACCCACCTCTGTGCTCACAGAGGCCCGATGTGGGCTTCCCAGTGCCATGGGCTTGGCTGCGCCCCTCGGGCCCGGCTGCTCTTCCTCCCGGTCTCTCTGCGTGGGAAGGGAGAGGGCCAGTCTGTGCGTGGCCCCACACGCCCCTGCCCATCAAGGGGCCCATCCAGCCCTTGGCGGGAGGAAGCTCACGCCCGCTGCTCCCAGGCCGGCACCAAGCTGCGCTCTGAACTCAGTTGGGGATGACCCAGGAAGCGGCATGGTTGACCCGGACAGCGGCTCCAGCTGCGCAAGCCTAGCGGGTGCCCTCCACCCTCCCCGTCTCCCCCCACCCTGAAACCCAGGGTCCCTTCGGCCACGCCCCTCCCACAACCCTGCAGGTCCCACCAGCTCTTTTGGAGTTTGGCTCCTCCCCCCACCCCCTGCCCCACACTTGGGAGGCCCTTCCCCGGACCTTCGAGGCTGCGGCCTGGGCCTGGCGCCCTCGGCCACAGCAGCCTGTCCTGTGCCACTGGGCACCCTGGGCCTGGCGCACTGTCTCAGGCCCAGGGAGCAGGGATGGGGCCGCTGGGCTCACCACCCCATGAGCTGGGCACCCCGGCCAGAGCGCAGGTGGTGGGGGTGCCTGAGGTTGGGGTGGGGACGCCATCAGGGGCAGGTGGTCTGCAGTGGGGGTGGGGTGCAGCCCTCCCCCCAGTCTGTCTCCATCCAGAGCCCCTGACCTGGGCTCCAGGCCCTCACAGACGAGGCCGAAGTGAAGCCAGTTTGTGGGGTCACAGCTCCGGCCAAAGCAGACAGGTGGGGTGCCATGGGGACCACCACGGAGGTCAGCAGGGGCTGCACTCACCACCACCCCCAGGAGGTGAGCACAGTTCAGGGGGTGCAGCTCATTCTTTCCTTCATCCTCAGCACCAGGAGGAGCCCTGACAGCCAGCAGAAGTCAGAGGTCAGCGGTGTTGGGAGGAGGGTGCATGGGGCAGGACTGAGTGGGGCTGGAGAGGTGCAGTTGGGGCTCTGGGCATGGGCCCCAGGAAGAGCCGGCCGCAGCAAGGCTGGGAGGGGCGGCCAGGCTGACCTCTGGGGACCTAGCTCTCACTGCGGGCGTTGGAGGGGCAGGACTGTGGGGCGCACCTGCCCGGCCCGCAGAGCCACGTGGTCCAGTGCCCGGGGCTGGGACCCAGGCTGGACCCAGGTGTGCAGCCCACCCAGATCCCAGGCTTCGTTCCAGCCTCCACCTCCCAGGTCGGGGGCCGTGTCCCAGAGCCTCAGTGCGTGTCCCTGGGTGGTGGGGACAGGGCAGCAGAGCAGCCGGCAAGTCCGCCAGTGCCGGGCCAGCAGGGGGCGCAGTCCGGGCCCCCGACGAGGCCTGCAGTGCCTCACACACGTGGCCACATGCTGTGCCAGGTGGCTCCCGGTCCTGGGGAGGGCCAGGGCAGGCCTTGGAGCATAGTCCTCTCTGCCCACGTGGCGGAGGACGTCTGTGGCTGAGGGTCCGGACCCCCTGTCTACGAGCCACACTGGAGAGTGGTGTCAGCGAGGGCATTGTCCTCCCCCTGTCCGGTGAGCCCCAGGGCTACGGGTCGCACATGTGCACACACCTGCACACGCAGGGGCATGTGCACTGTCACACTCAGCCAAGAGGATGTGCTGGTGTGTGCACACCCACCCGCCCCCACGGAGGACGCGTGTGGCCGTGCATGTACGGGCACGGCTGCTCCCCAGCGGACTGGAGGGCGAGCGGGTGTGGGGACCGGGGTCTGGCCCTGCCTCGTGGCCAGCGAGGCCTGGTCACCCCCCCCCGGGGGCACGTTCCTCAGGTCTTCCTGTCTCTTTGACTCTGGGCACTGACTGTGCCCTGAGGAGTTCTAGTGACCTCAGAGCTGGGACATTCCCAGGAGCCTTCAGGATGGTGTCCTCAGAGCAGGGCTGAGGACACTTCCCGGAGGTCCCCACGGAAACTCGGCCCCGTGGTGCACAGCTGGGCCAGGCCACACCCCCACCCAGGAGCCCACCCCGCTCTGACTGAGTTCCCACCCCCCCCAGCACCCGCCCTTCTCTCTGCCTCCCCATCCCCCTTCTCCGGGCCCCCACCGTCCTCGTCAGGCAGCTCTCTGAGACCCCCGTCTTGGGCACCCAGAGGAGCTGGGGCCCCTTCCTGAGCCCAGGCCCCACCTTCTCTGCCTGCAGGGAGAGGCCGCTGTCCCCGCCTCCTGCGGTCACCCGGCATCTCTGCGTCCACACCAGGGCCTCAGCCGTCCACCTACCCCATCTCCCGCGGCTGGCTCCTCCTGGGCTCCCGCGCCCCCACTCACCTCCTGAAGCTGGTCTTCCTCTTGCTGACCTCTGACCTCTGTGGTCTCTCAGTGCCTCTCCTAGTGCTTTTGGGGCTGCGGGTCTCCGGGGGTCCCAGGCCACCAGCCGAGGTGGTTGGTGGGCACCTGCCCGGTGGGTGGGGGCAGTCTCTGGGTGTAAGGCAGGCCACCTGTACCACCCGGGCTGGACACCACTCCCCACAGGCGCAGTGTCGGGGTCACGTCTCAGCGCGGGGGCGCACCGCCCTGAGGTCAGCTCAGACGTGCACTGAGGTGCTGTGCGTGGCCGGGGTGGGGGGTGGGGGGCAGCCTGCCACCACTGCAGGGGGCGGGGCATCAGGTGTGGGGCCGTCTCTGGCCCAGGGTGGGTGTGAGGGGTGCGGTCCAGGCCCCTCTGGCACAGCCAGGACCCCATGCTGACTGGCTGAAACCTCTCCTCCCCCAGGGAGATTGACGGCGCCCCCCTCCCGGCTGGGCAGGGCTGCCTTGGGCTCCAGGGTCCCACAGCGGACACTGAGCCCTGACAAGTCCTGGTGGCTGCTGTGTCCTCACCTCTGACCCCACCCCTCGGGGGAGCTTGACCTCTCACCCTGTTCCCTGGGCCCAGAGCAAGGAGACCTTTCCCTGCCCCCCAAGGCTTCAGCGGGCAGAGGCGGGGCAGCAGAATCGCAGGTTTGGGAGGGCCTTGCGTGTGCACACTGGGGTGGCACACGTGTGGACACACGTCAGTGGGCCGTGTACACGGGGCGGGGGCTGGAGAGGGGCCGTGAGGAGGGCATCAGTGGACCACAGGGTGTGATAACCTGGGCTGAGATTGTGAGTGGGGGGTTGGCAGCCCCTCAGGGGCTTGGGTGCCACCAGGGCCCCAACGGGGTGAGCTGATCTGTCTCTGGGGGCCACTCGGGCATCGCAGGGGCCAGTTTTACCCAGACCCCTGAGGACCTGCCCGGACTGTGGAGGTCTACACTGACCGCACCCCCTAGTTCCGCCCCAGGCTCTCACTTCTCACCTCTGACTCCCCGCCCTCTGCCGCCCAGCTTGCCAGGGAGAGGACAGGAGGCCAGCCAATCCCAAAGCCAAGGCCACACCCCTGGCCAGCATGACAGGAGCGTATAAATACACCTGCCAGGACTCACGGCCAGAGAACGCACACCTGCCTCAGTACTTGACACCTGGAGGAGCACACGCAAACCCCTGAACCCCACCTGCCCAGAACACACCTGCCAGGCCAGGGCCGCCGAGACAGCTGCCGTCCACCAGCCCGAGGAGGGACACCTGCCCGGTGAGCAGAGGCTGGGACTGCCTCGGAGGCGGAAGCAGGTGCTGCTGGAGCGGGAGAGCTTGGAGCCTCAGAGCCCGGCTGTGGCCGCCCGGGAGGACCATGCCCCGGCCCCGCTGACCCCTGCCCACCAGGTAAGGCCTGCCCGGCTGGCACTCACCTCTCACCTGCACAGGCTCAGGGTGGGGCAGCTCCTCGGGGGTGCGGCCTCAGACCAAGGAACCGGTTTTGTGGGGCACACGGGCCTGGGCGAGGACAGCCCACAGTCCCCTCGAGCCTGCCGCCTAACCCGCCACCTCTGCTGTCATCCGGATGTGGTGACATCTCGTGTCACGATGTGGGGGGCGCTCATGACCTCACAGTGATGTCACCGTGACTCACGGCAGTCTGTCACGATGCAGCAGCACCGCACCTTCACGGCGCGCCGCTGAGAAGCCACCCCACTGGCCCGCCTGGACCGACCGGAAAGTCGGGGCCGGGTCGCCTCTGGGGCCCCTGAGCTCCTTGGGGTCCCGTGGTCAGGGTCTTCCCAAGGCCCTGGTCTCCTCTGCCCACTGTGTGGCTGCCTGGGGCGGAGACCTGGGCCCAGTGGAGGGGCAGGGCCGGGCAGGGCCCTGGCCAGCAGGCCGGCCACCCGAGCTGGCCAGGGAGACAGAGGCAGGGTCTCCCGCGGAAACGGGGGGGGGTCGGGAGGGCACAGCTGTGTGCTCGGCTGAGAGGGGGCAGAGGGCACCGAGTCCCGTTCCCTCCGTGGGCCGGGGGCTGGCTCTTCAGGCCCAGGGCTCGGCTGGAAGACAAACCCTCCTCGGCCACCAGCCCCCACCCCTGGCCAGGCACCCCCTCCCCCCCGTCTCCTGTGGGCTGACGGCTGAGCCCAGCCAGCCCAGCGCCTGGGCCTCGCCCAGCTGCCTGACAACTGGCCGCCGGCACTGGGGTCTGTGTGCAGACCCACTCCCCTGACCCGGAGCCGTGCCCGCCCGGGAGAGCCCGGGGTCACCCGGCCCAGTCTCCCTCCCTCCACGCTGCCTTTTCTGTCACACGACCTGGCCCAGCCTGTCAGAGCCCATGTGTAAATAGTAACTGTTGTGGGCCATTGTCATCATCACCTTTACCTCTGCCAGGGGGCACAGCCAGGTAGGGCAGGGCCAGCAAGAGGCGTCCACAGAGCAGTCGGCACGACACCCTGTGCCCAGGGCCCCGTCTGGGCTGGTCAGGCCTAAGCACTGGGGGTGCTGCCCCAGTCTCAGCGTGGGAGGAGCTGGAGGGGGTGGGACAGGGCGCAGGTGGGACTCTCTGGAGGTGCCCACAGACAGGCAGTGGCCTTCCCAGGGTCTTTGGGACTGGTGCCGGGCAAAAGAGAGTGACAGGCTGCCTTTGTGTCACTCACAGTCGTCTCTGTTTGTCCCACAGCTCAGAGCCATGGCATCAGACGAGCAGGTGTGGCATACGGCCATGCCACCCCCCCGCCAGAGCAGCGCCACGGCGACAGTGCCCCGGTCCCTCAGCTCGGCCAGCAGCCCCAGGTCCCCCGGCTCAGTGTGCAGCCCCCGGTCCCTCAGCTCAGCCAGCAGCCCCAGGTCCCCCGGCTCAGTGAGCAGCCCCCGGTCCCCCAGCTCAGTGTGCAGCCCCCGGTCCCCCGGCTCAGTGTGCAGCCCCCGGTCCCCCGGCTCAGTGTGCAGCCCCCGGTCCCCCGGCTCAGTGTGCAGCCCCTGGTCCCCCGGCTCAGTGAGCAGCCCCCGGTCCCCCGGCACCCCTGGCTCAGAGAAGGTGGCCTCCCCGCTGGAGTGCTCCATCTGCTTCTCGGGCTATGACAACATCTTCAAGACACCCAAGGAGCTGTCCTGCACTCATGTCTTCTGCCTGGAGTGCCTGGCACGGCTGGCGGCGGCCCAGCCAACGGGCCGACCCGGCAGTGAGGCTGTGCCCTGCCCGTTCTGCCGACAGCCCACAGCTGTGCCCGCCACCGGGGCCCCTGGGCTGCGCACCAGCCGTCAGCTGCAGGCCAGGATGCCGGCCCACCTGCGGCTGGAGGAGCCTGTCTGGTTGGAGGGCACCAAGCTGTGCTGCTGCCCCCAGCCCTCTGCACCTGGCCTCCCGGCCCCTGGCTTCGTGTGCGTGGATGTGGGCCTCAGCAAGCCCGCCGAGCCCACCGCGCCCATTCCCATCCCGGGCCCTGCCAGCCGCCGGGGCCGCCTGGCCCGCTGCTGGGCACGCTGCCAGGACTGGAAGCGCATGGCACTTGTCACGGCCCTGCTGCTGGTGCTCTTCTGCGTGGTGCTCTGGCCTGTGCACTGTGCGCTCAGGACCGGGAACCTGCACTGCCTGTCCCGGCCTCCGGCCAGCACTGCCCCGGCCACTGTCACCTACGCAGCCACCTTCTCGCTCGGGCCCCTGGCCGACAACTAGAGCTGTCCCATGGCCCACGTGTGGGTTCCCAGCCCACAGCTGGAGTCACGGGTGCAGCAGCTGCTGGGAGTCAGCTCCCCAGGGCCCCAGAGGAGCCCCAACATCTCGGAGGACCCCCTTTGGCTCACTGCCCCCATTCTATGGGGCTGGGTCCTGATGGGGTGAACAAAAGGCTCCCCAAAGCCTCCAAGAGTCACAGGCTCCTGTGAGCCCCAGGGAGCACCCCCTCACTGCCACTGTGCAGCTGGGGAAGCAGGCTAGGAGAGACGGCCGGCCAGGCCCCTCCCTGCACACACTGTGAATGGCCCACAGGGCAGCCCCTCGCTGGGGGGGGGGGGGCAGGTCACCCTCACTTTCACCACTCACCCAGGGCTCCTTCCCCAGACCCTGCCCAGGCAGGGGGGCCCCTTCCATCGGCGGGGGGCCGACTGTGCCCTCCGACAGGGACACGGAGGAGAGGGGCCGAGAGCCAAGCCTCCCAGTGCCCATCCCACCCTCCTCAACTGTACATTTCTCAATAAATTGTTTTGTATCCACACTTGGTAAGGGGTCCTCACCTGTGCGCCCTCTCCCCTGCGCCACCTAGTCCTTCCCTCCAGAAAAGCCCTCCATCTGCCCCTGCCCCAGAGAGCCTCAACCCAGAGCATGCCCCTACTAGAGCCGACTCCCAGCAGCCCCGAGGGCAGGCGGGCCCCAGGTGCCAGGGGGCCCAACTCCCGTCTCCCCCGGGCTGTGGGTGGGTGGGAGCAGTTCAGGACTTGGCTGCCCCCTAGGTCCGTGAGGCTCCCCCAGGGGGGAGGGGAGGGCCCAGAGCACCTCAGACAGGGAGGGAGGCCTTGGTCTAGTCCAGCGCCCTCCCCCGTCCTCAGCCATGGCCCTGCTGGAAGCCTGGACTGCAGGGCTGCAGAACCCCATGGCTCCCCAGGAACGGAGAACAGAAACAGGTGGTGGCAGCCGGTGTGTCTGGACAACCCACAGACAACAGGTCCCTCCAGCAGACCCTCCCTGGGCCTGGCTGGCGAAGCAGCAGCGTCCTGTCAGCCCCACCCCAACCCCACACGGTTCTGCTGCCAGCCCCAGGAACCCTGCGCCACTGGGCTGGCACGGCCAGGAGAGGCCAGGCCAGTTCTGGCTCTCAGCCTCCTCACCCCTCACCCCAAAGCGCTGGACTTCCTGCTCCACCCAGCCAGGCCTCTGCTGGAGTGGGGAGGCCCTGGAGAAGCTGGGCTGCTGTGGGGGCCCAAACGCACCCTGTCCCAGGCCCCAGCAATGACACAGAGTTGGGAACGGCACTTTACTGAGGACACTGCAAAGCCACAGCACCAGTGGGGACGGGATGGCGCGTGCGCCCACGCAGCGCAGCACGGTGACTCCGCACCCATCACGCAGCCGTGATGCACACACGGCGCCTCGCCCTCGCCACCGGCAGAGCCAGGCCCCTGAGGCTGACATGCGGTCACATGAGCACCTCGAACATTCCCTCATCAGACAAGCATTTACGCGCCTGTGACTGCAACGTCGTGGCCTGCGCCCGGCAGGGACTGAGCCATCACAGACCACAACACTGTGGACAGGGCTGAGGGGCAGCTCTGGGGGTGGCGGAGACAAGCATGGACTAGCCACCAGCTCACAGGGAACTTGTGTCACACACACAGGCCGACACATGCAGCACACAGGGTCACAAGTGGTCACTGTGTCGTGTGGGTGGTCACTGGTGGCCTCCCGCACTGAGAGAGACACACCACAGCCCTGAAGCCCTACCCCCTCCACCCTCACCTGGGAGCCCCAGAAGGGACCGGGACACCAGGGTCTCCCAACCGGCCCTCCGCATTTCCAGGCGTCCAGGCCGGTAGGGAGTCAGGCGGGCAGGCTCCCCGGCAAGCTTCAGGCTACTGTTCTAAACACTGCGCTTTCCAAGAACGTGGAGGCCAGCCTTCCTGGGCTCTGGGCCTCCTCGCGCGGCTCCAGCCTCGCCTGGCGCGGGCACGCGGGCCCCGCACGTCCTGAGACTCGGCAGGTCCTCGCCCCCGCCGCCGGCGGTCTCCGGGGTCCGGCGGGCCGAGACCCGGTTCGGTGGTCTGCGCACACACGCCCCGGCCACGCCCCCGCGGCCTCCTGGCCCGGGCAGGGACACCGCCCGGCCCCCACGCGGGACCCCGGCCTGGCCCTGCTCCCTGACGCCCCCATTCACGCCGGGGGGGGGGTGGCTCGCTCTTCCGAGAGCTTAGACTGGGGGGGGGGGTTGGGGCCGCTGGTCACGTGGTGACGTCCCGCGGGCCTCACCGGGACTGGCCCCGCCCCCGGCTACTCGCGCAGGCGCAGCTGCTCGCCCTGGAAGTTCCGCGGACACGCTAGGTGCACGAACTCGTACTACGCTTCGGTCTGCGCCATCCGCGAGCGCTGCCGCCGCATCCGCGAGATCGTCTTGGGGACGCCGATGTCGCCGTCCAGCCCTGGGAACCAACGTGCTCCAGGTGGAGCCCGGGCGACAAGGTGGGGCGGGGTTAGGCAGGAGAGGCGGGGCCAATGGGAGGAGGGGGGCGGAGGCGCGGGGCGGAGCTATGTGGCAGGGGCGGCTCACCTGGCCTTCCGATGACGCCCACCAGGATGTCAGTCACAACCACGGTGCCTCCGCATCCTGTGTGGGCGCTGTGCGGACCGACCGGGATGCCCGTGGCGATTCGCAGGACGAAGCGGTGGCCCTGTACCGGGTTGCACCGCCAATGCCCGCGTGGCCCTGCCCCGCCTCCGGTCTCACCTGCGCCGCGTGGCCCCGCCCCGCCCCGCCTGGCCCCCGGTTGCACCTGCAGTGACTACCGTGGGCCTGCCGGCCCCTGGCGCGCTTCTCTGGGCTCGGTTCACTTCTTCCAGGAAGCCGAGGACGCCAGCGGGCCCCGTGGGGACTCCGTGGTCGGGCCAGCGGAAGTACTGGTAATGCTTGCTTCCCTGTGCGCGGCGGCGGCTCCTGGGCCGGGCCGGGCTGGTGAGCGCCCATCCAGGCCTTTCTGGGCAGTTCCCAGGTGGGGCGGTCCACCGAGTCAGAGCGGGTGCTGCAGTGACCCCAGGGTGGGAGAGGTGCAGGGGATAAATCGGGAGGAGGCACACTGAGGCCAGGAGTGGTCAGCAGGGCCAAGGCTGAGCTGGAGGGGTTGGAAGGAAAAGATGGGGGTGAGGCTTGGGGGTGAGGGGGCACAGATGGCTCCCCGTGGCTCAGCTGCCCGAGGAAAGGAAGCGGGAGCAGGTTTGGGGGACAGTGAATTCTATTTGGGAAGGGCCAAAGGTCAGGGGTCTGCAGGACCTGCACCCCCATAGAAGAAGGGTCCGTTCCAGGGACAGACAGGGGCACCACTGGTAAACCAAGGAGACCGAAGCTGCTGAGATGGCCCAGGAAGAGACTGTGGAGGCCACGTGCGTGAGGCCACCCTGGAGTCCAGCGTCCGGGGCCTGGGGCTGAGAATGGTCCACCTGTGACCTCTGCCCGGCAGAGCCCAGGCCAGGATTGTGCCCACGGAGCTGAGGGGCAGGGAAGCCAGCAAGGCCAGGGGGGTTGGTGGAGCCAGGTAGGAACCTCCTCACCCCAGGGCAGACCTAGGGCTACTGACCACTCCGGCTCTGAATGTCCCGCTGCCCTCAAGGCTCACCTGGCCTGGCCACCACGCCTGACACCCCCGCACAGCAGCCCAAGGCCTGGCAGTCAGCCGTGCCCCACCCACATGTCCAGCCGTACTCTGGGCTGCCCTCAGCCCCGGCCGGTATCGGAAACACTTCTTCTGGAGGCGGGGGTGCATTGTGTCAACAGTGCTAGGAGACCACCGGCACCCCTGCCCCTGTGCCCTGCGGAGACACACACACCCGTGACTACACGGGGGCTCTCGAGGACCCTCCCCACTCCCCAGAGCTTCCTGAAGACTGAAGAAGCGGGGCTGGGCCAGCACCGTCACACGTCCAGATCAGCACACAGGACAGGCCTGCCTTCCCACCCGGCCTCGCTCCACTCCCTGGTGGCCACGACGATGACACGTGTGTTCTCGGTGCACCACGGTCCAGACGGCAGACACTGTGTGTGATCTGCAGACAGCCCTGGGTGGCAGTGTCCACCTTGCCCAGTCCTTGGCCTGGCTTCTCCTCTGGGTCACTCTGGAAGGGGGTGGGGTCAGCTGCCTGCTGTTTCCAGGAAGAGAGACAAATGCAAGTCAGTGCAAATGACATGCAAAGAAGCCCCAGGTGGCTCGCACACAGTCCCTTGCACCGTAGTCTGTGGGGTGCTTAGAACCAATGTCCCTCTAGTCCAGTCCCCTCTGAGGACGCCTGCCTTGGGGACTGCCACACCCCCTCCCCCAAATACCTACTGTCCTGCTGAGGTCCACAGCCTGGGGCCCTGGCTCTCCTAGTGGCAGAGGCCCAGGCCCAGCCAGCTGCCTCATGCACCCCCACGCCCAGGTAGCTGGCACTCATGTAGTCGGCTCCAGGCATGCTGCTGTCCACACCACGCAGGACTGCACGGGTGGCGTCAACTGGGAGGGTCGGGTGCCACTTAGGTCTCCAGGTGAGCAAGGGGCCCCTAGTGTGCAAGAGGGAGCTCACACCTGTGATGGGAAATGGCCCCGCCCCCACCCTGAGGCCCTGCCGGGGAAGGGTGCCGTGAGGGTGTTGTGTGGACTCCTGGGCTGGCTCTCTGGCCACTGCCCACCCTTGGACACAGAAGCTGGTATCCCTGTGGCTGCAGCACCTGGCAGGATGATGGGACTTCAGCCACAGCTGACCCTTCCCCAGAGCCCACAGCACCGCCGCCCCGCCCCGCCCCTCAGACTCCTCCCAGAAGCCCTGCCCGGCCTTCTCTTGAGGTCCGTGGCCTGGCTGAGCTCTCCCACACGGCCGTGGATGCCGATCTTTGTGGCCTTGAGGCGCTGGCAGGGAGAGGACACGTCCAAGCTTCGGAGGGTCCCACCGTGTCCTCTCGGGGCAACACCCCGGGCCCACCCCCTGCCCCCAGCCGTCCTGCCCCCTTTTCCCTGGGCGGGGCCGTGCTGGTGTCCCTTGAGCCCCCAGGGGAGCAGCCCCCTCTGGACTCCCAGGTTCACGTGCCGGGGGGGATGTGCTTGTTTCAGGGGCACCGCAGGCCCCGACTTCCCCACCACGGGGTTCTCCTTGTAGAGCCTGACCGGTCCGCTGAGGCGTGGAAACCCCCCACCTCTGACACCGTACTTCCTGTCCGGTTGTGGGGGCGGTGGTGAGGGGCTGGGCCACCACTGCCTCCCGGAGTCACACCCACACCCTGGCCGCCGCCTCCTCCTATCTGGGAGCAGATCGTAAAGTGGGTGACAGGTGGCCGGCGGCCCACTTGCTCCTGCTGCCGTGTGAGCACACAGTATGAAGTCCCCAGTGTGTCTGACTCTCCCACACCGGGAAGCTGCCCCTGAAACCACCTGGCCAGAAAGTTCCCAGACAGACCCACACAGACCTCAGGGCCCAGGCAGCGGCCCACCCAGGCCAGCCGCCATCTGCCTCGCCCACCTCTCTGACCCTCCCCCGCTCCAGAGGTGTAAGAGCAGGCAGGCTCTGTAGGGCCCGGGGCAGCCACCAGGTGGCAGCCTGGTCCTCAGCAAAGAGGGGAGGGAACCTCCCCAGACCAGCCCCACCCCGATTCCCCGGGGCTGGAAGAACGGAGTCACCCCACACCAGCAGCCAGGAGGCTCGGGTGAGGCTGGCTGCAGGACCAGGGCGAGGCTACGCACGACCCTCCCGCCCCCTGTTCTGGCCCACGTGGAGCTGCGTGCACCAGCTTGGCCAGCGCCCACACAGGTTCTAACAGTCACTAGTGCTCTGGTTCTTGCTGTGGGTCAACTCCTTGTGGCGCCGGGTAAGTGTGGGGGGGCCACGCCCACTGTCCCCAACCTCAGCTTCCAAAACCGCCCCTGGGTCTTCCCAGCCAAGCTCTCTTGGTCTCGGCCAGGGAGGGCTGAGGCCAAGCCCAGGCCCCTGTCCAGCCAGTGGGCACACTGCGCGGTGGGCACCCCTCCGTGTGCCCTCAGCCCTCCGTGACAGGCTCAACGTCACCCCCAGCGCTTGCCTGGGGCTGCAGGTGACGGGACAGGGACCGTGACAGCTCCCCTGGGCTCCACAGGGCGGCTTGGGGAGCCCGGGGAGAGACACATCTCTCAGAGAGGTCAGGGGTTCCAGGGAGGGGGCCACACAACTCTCCTCTCCTGCTTCTGGTTCGAGGCTCACAGCTGTGCTTCCTAGGCCACCGCTCGGGCCTTCTGCCCAGGGTCTCCTGGCAGGGCCGGAGGTAGACCAGCCTTAGCCAGTGGGAAGGGTCCCCTGCCACCCCCAGGCGGTGCAGAGTGGGGGGGATGCTGCGAGGGGTGCCGCCTCCACGGGCTCTGCCCCACCGACTTGTGAGTTCGTAGCAGGGCGTCTCCCTGCCAGGAGCGGCCCCCACCCAGAGCCACAGGAGGGGGCTTGAGGCGCACGCCCCATCGGGAGGCTGAAAAGCCAGTGGCGGCGGGCCAGACGCAGGCACCTCGTGACGTGTTCAGACTTTATTTCACGGTGACTGACACAGACACAGACTGGAGTTAGTAGTGTGATGTGCGGGCCCTTCAGCCCTAGGGCCGAACAGCCCAGCCCAGGCCCAGCTGTGGGAGCGGGACCGGCACCCCACCAGTGCGCCGGGCGGGGCAGGGCGGGGCGTTGCAGTTCAAGGCGCTTCTGGCCTCACAGCCATCCCTGCCTTCCCTGCCCCTGCCCCCTGGCCGCGGTGCGACGCCCCGCTGACCTCTGGTCTTCCTGGAGTGAGGACACCCGCCCCCCCAGAACCAGAGTGAGGGTCTGCCACACAGTGTCCTCAGCTGCTCTCGGGCGGAGGTGACAGCCCACCGCCCCAGATGCCAAATAAAAGCGACGGCGTTGGGAACTCTGCGGCTGGTGGTCGCCTGGACGTCTGTCTGGTCGAGGGGGGCACTGAAGCAGGCGACGCAGGGCCATCGCCCACACCCCAGTGGCCCACTGCCTCTCAGGGTTCCTCCTGGGGCCTCAGGTGCTGGGCAGGGGACACAGCCACGTCCAAGGTGGCCGGGAGGGTGGACAGGGCCGGCTGAGGGCAAGGGCCCTGGAACAGGCCTGGGCCCGGCCTCTGCTCTCCAGCACCCGGGACCGGTAGACACAGCTGGGGGGGGGGGGGTCGGGGCAGCGCTGGGTGGCCCCAACGGTAACGTCCTAAGTCACAGCATTGGCACCGGGGGCCCAGGAGGGGCCGGCCAGGCGGGGGCCTGGTCCTGGGGGCCTGGCCCGCTTGCAGCGGGACAGAGACCAGCCCGGTGTAGGCCTGGGAGGGGCCCCGGCAGCCCCGGCAGCAGCTTCCCCTCCGGGGCTGCACCAGGTGGAGCCGCGTGCGGCCCGGGGCCCGCCCACCCGCAGGGAGCGCGCCCGCGGGGCTGGGCGGAGGCGGCGGTGTGTCCTGAGGTGGAGCCGCGCTGCCCCCTCGGCCGAGTGTGTGTCTCCGCGGCTCTCCTGCCTGGACGGGAGGGAGGCCAGGCCCGGAGTCCTTCCAGCCAAAACACAGGCAAGAAAATCATATCAAAAAGCAACAAGTGTACAAAAATATAAAAAGACGGCAACAGGCGGTGGAGGCTGTGGCGGCTCACGGGGCGGGACAGGGCTGCAGCTCGGGCTTGGTGACGGCGTCCTCCAGCAGGTGCAGGGCCCGCCGCCCCACCACCACGTCCCGCAGGCAGCCCACGAAGCCGGCGCCGTAGGCCTTGGGCAGGGCGGGGCCCACGGGCAGTCTCGCCAGGCCCCCTGCAGGGCAAACACAGGAGGGCCGCCCTGTCACTCTGACGGGCAGGGCAGGCCAGACCCGGAGGTTAGAGGGACCCGCCAGCACGTGAAGGACAGGCAAGGTGAGGTGCCTGGGGCCCGTCGGCACCCAGGGTGAACCGGGGGACTGCAGGCGGGCTGTGACCTCCGGGACCCCCCACCCCTCCCTGGCAGCCGACTGCAGGGGCCGAGAGAGCAGGGGCCGAGAGAGCAGGGGCCGAGAGAGCAGGCGCCGGGGCCCGGGCCCTGGCCGGGCCATCTGCTGCTGAGTGGGGTTGACTCGGGTGCCGCCCCCAGTGCTGGCCCCAGCAGACGGGGCCTGTCCCCCAGAGACTCTGAGGCCCCCCCACCCACCTCCCCTTACTCACCCAGCCACAGGGCTCCGTCTGTGTCCAGCTGCGTGGAGCCCAGAGGGGAGGAGCCGGTCACGGGGGCCTCGTTGCCCACCTGAAGGGAGCCTTCCCTTTGCTCCCTGGAGGGGTGGACAGGGTGAGGCCCTTGGGTGACTCCGGAGAGCCCACCCTGCCGCCTCCAGGCCCTGAGCCCCATCCAGTGTCACCCAGGGCCGGGACAGGGTGGCACTGACCCTTGGGAGAGTGCCTGGTGGCCAGGGCAGGGGGTGTCACGTGGGTTCAATTTTGCTGGAAGGGATGGCAGGCTCAGACCAGAGCAGCATGTCCCCAAACAGCAAGGGCCCCCTTTTCAGATCGGAGGTTCCCCGACCGTAACCGCTGTGTCCTCCCGTCCCTCCTCATCCCAGCTGGGACCTCAGGTCCGACAGCGGGCCCTGCCCCCCCAGCCACCAGTGACCCAGCACCCCCTGGGCTCCCGGCTGACCTGTGCGCCCGGACCCGCAGCCAGCGGTTGGTGTTGACCGGCACGGTGGAGCGCAGCACCACGGGCTGGGAGCCCAGGTCGTAGGCCAGCTGCAGGCGCCCGTCCACGATGGCCAGGGCCAGGTAGTCGGCCCGCTCCGTGGCCTTGCCGCTCCACAGCACCAGCCCCTGCGTGGCCTCCGTGCGCAGGCTCAGCTCGAAGTGGTCGCTCTGCAGCGCCTTCTCGCTGCGGGGCAGAAGGCTGGTCAGGGCCTCCCGGGGGGTGGCGGGGAGCGGGGTGGGCAAGGGGGGTGGGCGGGCAGTGGGAGTTAGGACCGGATCGGCAGACCCGAGAGGCGCACAGACAGAAGGACAGCTCGGCAGAGACAGCGCGGGGAGGGGGTGATGAGGGGCCGGCAGGCAGACAGCAGGGCCAGGGTGGCGCGTGCTCACCTGTGCAGGGCCCCGGAACCCGGCGCTTCGGGGCTTAGAAGCAGGAAGAGAGGGAGGCAGGTGAGCGGGGGACAGACCGGCGGCAGTGCAGGGCGGGGCCCTGCGGCAGCCCCCCCACGCCCCCTTCCCACACGTGGGGGGCAGGAGCAGCAAGCATCCTCGGAAGACACGGAGGACCCCGGGCCATCCGCTCCCCCCACTGCAGAGCCCCGGCAATGACACACGTGCAGCACGCATGTGCAGACACAGAGCTGGCGGGCACGGCCTAGGCCCAGCTGTCAAGAGCTGAGACACGGGGAAGGACGGAGACCGAGGGCTCCTTGCCGCAAGAGGCCCCGGATGTCCCAGCAGACGCGTGCAACCAAACACAGGTGTGCGCCGACACAGGTGCTCCGGCGGTGAGGGCGGGGGCCGAGGGGGTGGACGGGCGACCGACCGCCCTCAGCGCGCACCCGGGGCCTCACGCAGCCCTCACGGCCCAGCCCCGTCCTGCATCTGGGAGGGGAGTGCGGCCTCGGCCCGGGCGGGCGAGGAGGGCAGAACGGGGAGCGAGCGAGAGAGAAGGTGGCGGGGCCCAGGCTACTTACGCTGGGATCTCATTGGTCAGTTCGCTTGGAAACAAAGAGACAGAGATGGTGAGAGGGTGGAGGGGGCAGGGGCAGCGGGCAGGCACAGCGGGGCCTGCCCCTCCTGGCCACGGAGCGGAGGGCGGACGCGGCCCTCGCCCGCACGCGTGTGGCCGGGACCAGAGGGACCGCTGAGGGCAGGGGGCGCGCTACCTCTCCGTCACGGCGTTGAGGTACTCGACGTAGGTCCGTCCGTCGAAGGCGAGCGCGTCGAGGTCCCCTGCCGACTTCTCCATCAGCCCTGAGAGGGAGAGTTGGGGTGAGGGAGGCCCCGGGGGCCCCCGAGCCACCCCGGCCTGGCCGGCGTGCTCACCCATCTCGCAGTGCGGCCCCGAGAAGCCCCCGGGGCACAGGCACTCGTAGGAGGCCCCCCGGGGCAGGCAGGAGGCCCCGTGGAGGCAGGGGTGTCCCGAGGCCTGGGTACACGGGTGGTCCGCAAAGGGGGAGACGTCCACCGCCCGCACCACGTGCTCCTGGGTCAGCAGCTGGTGGCCCTTCAGAGAGACCTGGGGGGACGGAGGAATGAGAGCCACGGCCCCGCCCGCCATCCTCCCTGCCGCGGCAGTCCCCCCCGGAACGCCCCCTCCGCCGCGCGCGTACCAGCTGGATGACGCCATCGAAGCCAGAGGACATGGCGGCGGCCCGGGCCAGCTTGCTGAAGTCGGGAGCCCCGCCCAGGTAGAGCGGCTCCTTCAGGTTGAGGACGGTGTGCGACACCTGGGGGCAGGTGCCGGGTGAGCGCCGCGGAGCCGCCCCCCGGGCAGGCACAGGGTGCCCCTTGCCCTCCGGCCTATCTGTGAGGCAGAGTTAATCACACACACACACGGCCGACGGGGGGCTTAGTGGCCGGGAGGGGGCTACTCTAGGGATGGGGGCGGCAGCAGATGGTAGGCAGGAGGAGCAGGGAGACTGGTACCTTTCGGGATTTCTGACATCCGAGGAGCGGGGTGGGGGTTGCAGAGCGAGGCCAGAGAGCAGAGAGCAGAGAGGGGCAGGACAGACGAGAGAGAAACCACTTCAGTGAGAGCCTGGCGGCGGGGGCCGCCGCACCGTCCGGGACGAGGAGGAGGAGGAAGGGGAGGAGGAGGAGAAGGGGGAGGAGGCCCACGGCCCGGGGACGCTCACCGGGGACTCGCCCTGCACGCGGGGCCCGTCGCTCACGCGCATGGCGCCCTTGCGGCCGTTTCGCTCCAGGGAGACCCGGGTCCAGGTGCCCAGGGCCACCGGCTCCTTGCTCCTGGCGAGGAGGGGGCACCGTGAGCCCCACTGCCTGCCCTGCCAGGTGCCCCAGTGACCCTGCCCTGGGCCCCCAGCCCTGTCCCCGCCCCCACCTGCACACCTGATGACCGCCGCCCCCTTGCCCAGGTCGTAACGGAACTCCAGGTGGCCGTCCCGCAGCGCCAGTGACACGAAGTCCCCCGTGCCATCCGTCTTCTGCCCGTTGTACAGGAGCAGGCCGTTGGCGCCCCGGGCCAGGAACACCACCTCCAGCGCCATCTTCTCCCTGGGGTCACGTGGGGTCAGGCGGGGCGGGGGCAGTGTGACGCCCGCCCGCCCGGGGCGGCCCCCTCCCCTGCGCCCCTTCAGCCCCACTGACCCCAGGTCCCGCTCGAAAGTGTGCAGGCCTCTCAGCTCCAGGTAGGAGAAGCCACCGAAGTCAGCCAGGAAGGGCCGGGCGTCGCTCCGTGCCGAGACTGCACGGGACGGGGCGGGGTCACTCAGGGCGCTGGGCCCTGGCGTGGGTCCCCTGCACCCCCACCAAGCTGAGGTCCCCTGGCCTGAAGCCCAACCCTACCCCCAGCAGAATCACACGTTCGACCCAGCCCTCCGCCCCCTGCCCCGAGGCCCGGGGCCCCCACCTGTTTGGCAGAGAGTGCCCCCCCGGCCCAGGGGGCACTCGCACTCGGCCTCACCCCCCGGCAGCACACGGCAGGGGGCTGCCCCGTGGCAGGGGTTCGGCTCACACGGGTTCTTCTCCTCCGCACAGGTTGGGCCTGGAGAGAGACGGGTGGGGTCCCAGGAGGCTGGAGTCCCCGCTCCTAGTAACACGGGGGTCCCTCCGACACCCAGCCCGGGCCCCGTCCTCACCGAAGCGGCCCGGCGGGCACTGGCAGTGGAACACGCCGGCCTCCAGGGCCCGGCACGGGGCGCCCCTGAGGCAGGGGCTGGGCAGGCAGGGGTGGGCCCCACACTCGGCCACGCCGGAGCTTCTGGTGGCCGCCCCCGGCCAGCTGCTGAGCTCCAAGCGCTGGTTGTTGACGTGCAGCAGGCGGATGCAGCCCCTGAGGCCGACGCCGACGGAGGTCCGCTCGAGCACCCTGCACCAGGACGAGGGTCAGGGGTCAGGGCTGCTCCCCATCTCCCCTTTCCGGTGCTCCCAGATGGCCAGTCCCCAGGACAGGGCGTGGGCTGAGGGTCACAGGTCAGGACCGAACATCAGCCCAGTCCCCCCTTGGTGGTCACACCTGTCCTCAGGAGTGCCACCCACAGATGGGGCACAATCAGGACCTGGACCAAGAGCTAGGATTGAGGTTGGGGTCACAGCCATGGTTCACACTGTCTCTCCACCCCTCTTGCTATTTGGGTGCTCGGGCTTCCTGGGTGCAGCCGACAAGTCAGAGATCGGGATCAGGGTCAGACGTTGGGATTGGGGCCAGGCCCACCCCAGCGCTCCCTGATGCTCACACGGACGCCTGGTCCTCTGGGACGCCGCCCACGAAGAGCTCTGTGTCCAGGTTGAGGCCATCAGTGCCACTGGGGCTCTGGCCCAGGACAGGGGGCTCGCCGTCCACTGAGAGATTCCCCTGGCGCCAGTGCCGGGACAGCTCCAGGCGGTGCCACCGGCCGGGCTCCACGGGCACTGTGCTGGTCAGCACCAAGGGTCCTGAACCTGTGTCAAATCTGCGGGGAGGAAGGAGGACGTCCTCAAATCCCCCACAAGGAGCCAGGACTACTGCCCCGCCCCGCCCCGCCCCGCAGCCCCGCCCACCCTAGCCCCGCCCCACCGCTACGCGAGCCCCGCCCACCCTAGCCCCTGCCCCGCCCACCTGAGCTGCACACGGCCCCCCACCAGGGCCAGCGCCAGGAAGTCCTTGCCGCGGGCCCCGCCGTTGTAGAGCAGCAGCCCCTGTGGCTCCAGCGCGCGGAACTCCAACTCCAGGCGCAGCGTGTGGTAGGCTCGGAGGGTCGGGAAGGCCAGGAAGGAGCGGCCCCCAAAGGACGGCACTGAGGGGCGCAATGCTGCGAGACGGGCACCGGCTGGAGGGCACAGAGGACCAGGGCCCCAGTGGCCCTGTCCTCTAGCCCGAACCCCCCAGGCCCTGTCCCCCTGCCCCCTACCCCAACCTGGCGCCCCACCCTGTTGCCCCACCCTGTTGCTGATGGTGGCTCAAACCTGCCCCCCACTTGCCGCCCTGTCCCTCTCCAGCAAGGGTGACCCTTACCCTCTTCACAGACGGCGCCCCCCCTGCCGGCTGGGCAGCTGCAGGTGAAGGTTCCACCCAAGTCTCGGTCCTGGCAGGTGCCCCCATGGAGGCAGGGCTGGGAGTCGCAGGGCCTCAGGGGCTGCTGCGTGCGATGGGGGGCTGTGGTGGGGGCCCGTCGCGTGGTGGGGGCCGCTGTGGTCCTGCTGACGGGCCGGCTGGTGTGGCTGGGGTAGAGCGCCCGAGGGGTCGCCGCGGGAAAGGCGGAGGTGGTGGCCCTGGCCGTGGCCGCGGCAGGGGTGGCTCCCGTGAAGAACGCAGGAAACCAGTCTGAGGGCGGGGAGAGCGGTCAGGGTCCCGTGGCAGGGCCGGCGAGCGGGGCGCTGGCGGGAGCGGGGGAGGGGCCGAGCGGCCGCGAGGGCGTAGGCCGGGTGGGCGGGCACTCACCGAAGTCCATGAAGCGCGCGTGCTCCTGCAGCGGCCGGCGCACCCCCAGGGGCCGACGCCGGGACGCCTGGACCTGCCGGAGCAGGGCCCGGGCCACGTCGGGCGCCCTGAAGCTCGTGGCTGGGGAGGGGGCACAGTGAGCACCGCGGAGCCCTGGGCGGCGCCCCCCACCTCCTGGGGGAGCGGGCTGGGGGCTCACTGGGGTCGAAGTGCACGTCCACAATCGCCCGGACAGTGTTGCCTGGCCCCAGGTCCCTCAGGTGGACACTCCAGAAGTCCTTCTTAACGTCCGAGTTCCGGAAAAGGTCATCCAGCTGTGGGGGAGGAGTGGGGGCGGGCGCTGGGGGCTGCCCCGACTGCGCGGCCCGGCCCCCCCGCCCAGGGCTGCTCCGGGTCCGCCCTGGGAGTGGGCGGGGCCCCAGACTCACGGCGCTCTCGATGCTCCTGGCCGTCTCTCCGAACAGCTCCGACTTGGGGTCGGCCATCTCGGGGGTGTAGAACAGCTCCTGCCCGTCAACCGCCTCGAGCTCCAGCACGCCCTGGAACGCCTTGGTGGCTGTGGGGGAGGGGGCAGTGAGGTGCTGCCGGGCCCGACCCGGCCTCCGGGCCAGCCGTGGGTGCAGGCCCTGGCAGCAAGCCCCACGGGCGCAGGGCAGGTGGCGGTTAGTCAGATGGCCGTGAGGTTAGTGGGGAGCTGGGGGCAGGGCTGGTGTCAGTTACCAGGCGGACTCCTTGGGGCCAGGCCCCGGGCCAGCTTGCAACAGGAAAGACAGGTTAGCCACAGGGGCCGCAGCACCCAGGTGTGTTTGGGGGCCCAGATCTCGTGTGCGCGTGCGTGTGTGTGTGTGCTGGATCCCAAGACCACGCACGTGCGTCCTGAGACCAGCGCACCATGCGCCCCGGGCGCCCACCTGCGGGGCAGGCCTGCTTCCTGGGAGGAGCGACGGCGTCCCCGGCGGGGTCCAGGCCGCTCCTCGCGCCGCACCGCTGCACCCCGGCCCTGGCCACCCACTCACCGGGACAGTTGGAGCCCTCGGCGTCCAGCGCGAGCGTCTTGCCGTCCGAGCAGCAACCCAAAGGTGAGTTGTAGCACGAGGCCTTCTCGATGGGTGGCCCCGGGGTCACAGCGCTGTCGCCCCCGGGGGGCTCGAGTCCTGGGGGGGCGCAGTCTGAGCCCAGCGGCAGGCCAGGCCTTCCGGGGCCCTGCCCCCCGCATCCCGAGCCCGTGCTCACCCCCCGAGCCGGCCCCGCTGGCCTCCAGGTCCCCGCTCAGCTCCTCGTCGCCACTCCCGTCGGCGCTGCCTGACTCGCTGAAGGCAGACGTGGCGAGGCCGGCCGCCGCGGGGGGTGTCGTGGGGGGCACGGTCAGTGCAGGCCTCCAGGTGGTCCGAGGGATGCTGGCGGTGGTCTGAGGCTGCGGCGAGGGGCGAGGGGTGGGCCGGCTGTGCGGGGTGCTGCTGGGAGCCGGAGCCCGGGCACTGGGTGGGAGCGCCTCGCTCAGGCGGTGTCCTGAGGCGGCCGCGGCCGCGGGTGTCGGACGGGCGCCAGGAGCGACAGCCTCTGTGGGGAGAGGAGAGTCCGGTGGGCCCCCGAGTCAGGGCGAGGCCAGGCCTTCCCGGTCACGTGCGGAGCCACGGGGCAGGCCTCACCCTGGCAGGGGCCGAGGCTCTGGATGGAGATGTCCAGGCCCTGGCGGCAGGCGATGGTCCGCAGCTGACACTCGTTGCCGTAGGTGACTCCATCCGAGCCACAGACCTGGGGCAGGAGGACGAGGATGCTGTGAGGGAGCCCTTCCCCACCCCCACCACCCCCCACACGCCCCACCCCTCACCTTGGTCGCATTCACCCCCGGACACGTGGGTGTGGGGCACATGCAGTGGGCGGAGCCAGCCTCCTCCATGCAGGACGCCCCGAACTCACAGCGCATCTCAGCACAGGTCTTGGGCGCCGAGGGGTCTGGGGCAGAGAGGAGACCCCGCTGGCTCGGGAGACCGGCTGCCGGGACAGCCACCCCCCAGCACAGGCCAGGCCCTCACCTGTCTCACAGCCAGAGGGGCCCAGGGCGCGGCCGCCTGGACACTGCCCGCACTTGGGCCCAGCCACCCCCGGCTTGCAGGAGCACAGCCCGGTCATCTGCTCACAGTCGTCCCGCACAGCCCCCCGGGGGTCACAGCTGCACGCTGAGGGGACAGGGGCAGGAGGGGGCACCTGAGGCCTGTGCCTGGTTTCCCCACTGGCCCCAGAGCCCCGCCCCCGCCTGGTGTGGGCCAGGCCGGAGCCCAGGTGGGGGACACGGGGCCCGGCAGCAGCACGGGCAGGCGGGAGAGCTCAGCTGAGCGCCCAGCGTGGGTCCGGTCACTCACGGGTGCAGCCACTCCGGCCATCGGTGACGATGCCACGGAAGTTCCAGTAGCCAGGCTCACAGCGGTCACACTTGAGGCCCCCCACGCCCGGGCGGCAGGAGCACTGGCCCGTGCCTGGGTCACAGGTGCCACCATAGGAGCCGTGTGGGTTGCACTGGCACACACCTGCAAGGCCAGGGCAGGGCGGGGTCACCACGGTGGCAAGGCTCCGCCTCGCTGTGGTCAGGGCTGGGCTCAGGCACTCACCGGGGCAGCCGGCCAGGCCCACGCCCCGGGCAGCAGTGACATTATCCCGGCAGCAGCCGAAGGGGGTCTGGGTGCAGTGCAGGGGGACTGCCGGCGGCCTCGGGGCCACAGTGGGGCCTGCAGAGAGACACCAGACGGTGTCCGACACCCTCCCGGGCCTGGCCACTCCCCCTTGGCCTCCCCCAGACCTCGCCATCACCCTCCTGAGGCCAACTGCCGTCAGGACTGGAGGCTGGACTCAGGCCACGGGGAGGCCACCACACCACACACAAGAGAACGTCCATCCACACAGAACCAGGACACGCGAAGCATTGGCAGGTCAAGCACACGCAGCCCTGGGTGCACCGTACGACCAGAGCCACACAGGGTTGGGTGAGTGTGTCCTTGCGACCTGGTGTGCGTGCACACACATGTGCACACGAAGACATGGGTGCACACGTTCACCCACACGCCTCCAACCACATGTGCTCACACACACACCTGCGCAGGAATGTCACTTGTGCACCTGTGACATTTCCTGGGAGACAGAAGCTGCCCAGAGGGGCCTTGCTGCCTCCCCGTTGCCTCCCTGCACAGAAGCCGGCCCGGCACACAGTAGGTGCTCAGTGCGCACTTGTTGGCTCAGTGACACGCCACTCCACAGGTGCAGCTGCACAGGTACAAGTATGCACCTCCATGACAACACACAGTCATATACGCCTGCGGGACAACACCCATGAATAGGGCACACACTCCCACCTGCCTCACGCCTGTGTGCACACGCATGCACAGAAAACAGCGAGTGCGCACGGGAACAGGTGTGGCCACGCACCTCGGCAGGCCCCCAGAGCCACCGCGTGCAGCTCCCGCCGGGACTCGCACCGGGCCTTCTTCAGCGCGCACTCCGAGCCATAGGTGACCCCGTCGGAGCCGCAGACCTGGAGGGGGGTGTCAGTGGGGCGTCCGAGGCCCCCGCCTCGCCCCGGGCTCACCCCCACCCACAGACAGAGCGGGCGGGGGCCTCACCGGGCTCCGCGGGACGCCCTCGCAGCGGAAGCCGCAGACGCACGGCCCGTCCTCCGAGTCCTCGTCCCAGACGCCGCCGCGCTGCCGGCACAGCTCCTGCTCGCACTCGCCGTCCTCCCCGGAGCCGGAGCCTCCGGAGCCGCACTCGGCTGCGGAGAGGGGGCGGTCACCCGAGGGCCGCCGGTCAGAGTGGGCACCCCACACCCCACGCCAGCCTCTGCGCCTACCCTGCTCGCAGGGCCCCGCCCGGGCCTCCTCGATCTGGGTCTGCTGCCGGCAGGCGGCCTCGCGGAGTTCGCAGGCACTGCCGTAGGTGACGCCGTCGCTGCCGCACACGGGGCCGGGTGGGGGGCGCTCGCACCGGGGACACACACACTGCCCGGCCAGGCACACCGCCCCGAAGGCGCACACCGTGTCTCCGCAGGTCTCTGCAGAGGCGGAGCCGGGCCCGGTCAGCAGGCCCCACCTGGGAAGTGCAGGGACCGCAGCCCCCCGGCCCACCCCACTCACGGCAGGGTCCGGGCGAGGCCACGTGCAGGCTGATCTGGCGTGTGCAGGCGTGGACGTGCAGCTCGCACTCGCTGGCGTACGTGTGCCCGTCTGAGCCGCACACGGGCTCGGCCAGGGCCACGCACCCGGAGGGGCACACGCAGCGCCCGGTCGCGGCCTCGCACAGGGCGCCGAAGCGGCACTGCCCACAGCGGTCTGGGGAGGAGGTGCCGTCACCTCGGTGCCCAGCACCGCCTCCCCCCCGCAACACCCACTCGCCCACCACTGACCACAGGGTCCTCTGCGAGCCACCCGGATCTCCCGCTTGAGGGTGCAGGCCATGGCCTCCAGCTCGCAGGCGCTGCCGTACGTGACGCCATCACTGCCGCACACGGGGTCGTAGACGCCTGGGCACGCCTGCTGGCACACGCACTCAGCTCCCCCGTTCTTCACGACACACACCGCCCCGAACAGGCACTGCACCCCGAGGCACGGGGACCGGGGCTGGTCTGTGGAGGACGCGGCTCTCAGCAGGCCGCCTCCCCCAGGCTCAGGCACAAGCCCCCAGCTCCGCGCAGCAGACCCTCTCCCGGGGTGGGGGTGGCGCAGGAGGAGTGGACCGGGAGAAGGGCCGGAGGCACAGGACACAGCAGAGAAAGGGACAGACACGCGACAGACACAGACAGGGACGCAGAGCCCACGGCCCCAGCCCCCGCAGGGCGGCGGTGTGGGCTGTCCTCAGGAGCACCCCGAAGGCCCACCGTGGGCTGCGTGAGGGCCAGGCCTGCCCAGGCCACTGACTCGCCCCCCAGCCACCCTGGGACACGTGTGCATGTGGCGGGGGGGCTCTCTCTGTGGGTGGGAAGAGTCTGCAACCTAGAGTCAGACCCAGGGCCACACAGGGGGAGGAGGTGTCTGTCCACTTGCTCTGAGGACCACAAGGCCAGGCAGCAGCGAGCCACCCCCCCGCCGCACTGGGGGCAGACCTCGGACTGCGGGCTCCTGGCGGCAGGTGCGGCACCTCATCCTGCCCGTAGGTCAGGCTGGAAGACACAAGAGGCGCAGCCGAGAGGGAAGGAAGGACGGGGAGAGGAGACAGGAGCGGAGAGACCTCGGAGACGCCCAGGGACACGGCTGGGGGTGGGCGGGGCACAGCAGCCCCCGCCTCTGCCGCCCCCAGAGCCCTGAGGGACCCAGGGGGCTGCGGGCGCCACGCAGGCCCCACCGCTGCCTCCCTGACCCCAGGTGCTACAGGCGCCCTGCTGATGGAGCCCTCCGCCCCAGAGCTCGACAGGCAAGAGCCCTGCCCAGGGACCCGCTGGTGCCCACGACCCCGGGGGGGGGGGGGAGGGTGACTCGGGATGGAGATGGCGTGTGATGGTGGCAGCAGGGCCCGACGCAGGACCGGCCTGCTCCAGGCGCGGCCCCCCACGGTGCTCACCACAGGGGCCCTGGTGCCTGGTGGGGACGGCGCGCTGCTGCCGGCACTCGGCCTGCTGGCGCCGGCACTCGTTGTCGTACGTGCGCCCGTCGTGGGCGCACACGGGTCTGTAGGCCCCGTCGCAGACGATGCGGTCACAGGAGCAGCGGGGCCGGCCGCGGCGGACCAGACACATGGCGTTGAACCTGCAGGTGTCTGGGCACTGGTCTGGGGGTGGGCGGAGAAGGCAAGGAGGTCAGAGGCCAGAGAGCCTCTGGCCAGCCTGCACTGTGGGGCATGCAGAGGACCCAAGGGCCCACGGGGCGGCGCGCAGGGGACAGTGCGCACAGGCAGGGCGGCCCTCCCCGGGGAGCCGCCCACCTTGAGGCTGGCACCGTCCGGTGCGCACTGTCTGCAGGTGCATGCCGCGGGCGGCCCCGGTGCGGCCCATGACGCACTCGCTGTCGTAGGTGACGCCGTCGTCCCCACACACAGGCGCCTGCCGGGACGGGCAGCTCTCTGGCCGGAGCAGCATCTCGGGCCGCCGGGTTTGAGGGTTCACGCGGCAGATGCGGCTCGGGTCGCTGAGGGCATCCTTGCAGGGGTCTGGGGTGGGAGGGGGAGGTCAGGGCGTGTGCGCAGGCGCACGCACGGAGGTCACGCGACGTGCCGGCGTAGCTCACCGCAGGGGCCGTCGAACTTCTTGAAGATGTTCTCCTGGCGGGCGCAGGCCTGGCGCAGGAGCTGGCACTCGCTGGGATAGTCGGCGCCGTCGCTGCCGCACACGGGGCCCCCAGGAACCCCCTGGCAGGAGGCGGGGCACAGGCACGTGGCTGTCTGTCCATCGGCAGAGCGCGTGCAGGTGCTGCCGAAGCTGCAGGTCACGTTGGAGCAGGGGTCGCGGGGCCCTGTGGGCGGGGCGGGGCAGGGCGGGGTCACGCTGGCGGGCCCCCCCGGCACCGGCGCCCCCCCACTGTGCGGGCTGCACTCACCGCAGGGCCCGTGGGAGAGCAGGCGGATGCGCCGCTGCTGGCTGCACTGCGCCCGCTGCAGCTCGCACTCGTTGCTGTAGGTGGAGGCGTCAGAGCCGCACACGGGCGCCACCACCCCGGGACAGGGCCGCTTCTTGCACACGCAGGAGGCTCGGCCGGGGTCCTCCACGCTGGGCTCACACACGGCGCCAAAGCCACACAGCATCCCCCGGCAGGCTGGCGTGGGACGGGGGAGGGTCAGAGCCCACCCCTGCCAGCCCCTCACCCCGCGGCCGTCTGAGCACACGGGCGGCACTATTCACCCATTAAACCCCACAGACACATTCACACATGTGTGCGTACCCACACATGCTCACACAGGCACACGTGTGTGCCCATCACGCCCACATACACACGCTTGTGGGCACAGTCACAGGGCCAGGCCCTCCCCTATCAAACCCGGCCCAATGCAGGGCTCCCCCCAGCACCAGTCCCGGCCTTTCCTGTGCCTTCCCTCTAGGGAACCCTCTTTGCCTACACCCCGTGCCTACTGCGGAGGGGACGCCTCCCGCCTGCCTTGGTGGACAGCCAGCCCCCCTGCCAGCTCGGCTGCGAGTATTGGCCCCCTCACGCTGCCTGGGGGGCCTCCCCATCCCCTGACAGGCGACCGACCACTTACAGCCCCGACCCTGTGGTGCCCACCCGCATACCTGACCCGTCTGCCTCCCCGTGGACCTGCTGCCCCCGCCCTTCCAAGACACCTGAGGTCACACAGCTGGGGGGAAGGTGTGGGGAGATCCGAGGTCAGGTCACGTGCTCCACCTTCTGGCCCAGGCCAGGAACCCCGCTGCCTGGCCCCGTCTCCCCACACCTCGCTCTCCCGCCCCTCAGACCTGTCCCCACGGGGGCCCTGCCTGCACCAACCCTCCCCCAGGCCCTCGCTCTGTGCGGCTAGCTCTCCTGGTCTCCTGCTCCCCGGGCCTCCCCGGGCCCCCACGTGCCTGTCCTCCCCACCTGTCGTCCCGAGCCACCACCTCAGCCACACCCTCCCCCCTCACACTCAGAGAGGACAGCACAGGGGTGCTCTTGATTTCGTAGTTGGGAGCTGCCTGTGCCCGGTGTGCAGGGGGCGGGCAGGCAGGCTGGCTCCTCAGGACCCCGGCAGAGGACTGCACACCCACAGGCCACAGCTGTCGGGAACTAATGCATGTGCGGTCGGGTCTGATTAGCATTAATAAGTTATGGGGACCCGGGAGGCACCCCCGTCACCTCCCACCAGACTCAGGAAGTTGGGTGGGAGGAAGCACCCTCCATTCTACGGAGCTCGGGAGCTGGAGCTCGCTGTTGCCACGGCAACGGGCCACCCCAGGCTCCTGCTCTCTGCTTGTGCATCCCCACCCCCACCCCGCACAGGCTGCCTGAGCCGGAGCCAGGGGCCGGCGTGGACACCCAGCCGGAAGTCCCTGCAGCCCACCTATGCCTCCTCCCTGCCACCTCGCCCTCGTCTGCCCCGCCCCCTCAAGTCCCTCATTAGGCCCTGGAGCCTGGCTGTCCCCAGCTCTGCATCCACCTGCCACGCCTCAGCGTCTCCTCCAGGGAAAGGGGTGCCCGAGGACACCTGGGCTGTGGGGACCGCCAGCAGCGACCGGGAGGACTAGGGTCCCTACTGGGGTCTCCCCGCTCTGACGGGGCCCACCCGCAGTCCCTCTTCACTCCCCGGCTTCCTTGGCGCCCCCAGCACGTCTCTCTCACCCGAGGCCCCTCGCACCCCCAGCCAAAACCTCCGGCGCTTGCTGATGTCCAGCCGGCTGTTCTCCTTGGCCTGGAATGGACCTGCAGACCAGGGTCTCTCCCAGGGTCCTGACTCCATGGCCAAGGGCCTGGTCACCTCACTGTACCTGAGGGTCCCCGCCAGCTGCTGTGTCTGTGCCCTTGGGCTCAGGCCTCGGTCTCCCTCTGGCCACCTGGGCGCAGCCAGACCCCTGCCAAGGACTCCTACTTCTGGGTGACCAGTGCGCTCCTCATCCACCAAGATCCACACCTTCCTCCACAGCCCAGGGGCCTGCTTCGTCCCTCAGACACTGCGGAGGGAGCGGCTTTGCAGAGCTGGGGCCTGAGGGGGGTGCACCGAGGACAGGCGGAAGGGCTGGAGACCAGAGGCCACCCACAGGTGCCCCAAGGCACCAGCTGAGGGCAGAGGAGGGGCCCGGGTACCATCAAGCTTAGGCCCCAGCACTGACGCCCAGGTCCCAGTCGCTCCACCTGCCCCCCAGAATGACAGTTCCCGAGGGGCCGTCTCCTCTCCGGGCTCCCAGGCCCGCCATGGCATTTGGTGATTCGATGTGGGTGAAGCTGAGGTTTGGGGCATAAAGGACTCGTCTCCTCTCCAGGGTGAACTAGCTCCTCTCCCCAGGCCACGCTCAGCCGGGCAAGGGGTGCTCCCTCGCACCCCCATGACTGCCCACTTACGCGCCCGCACCCCCGGGGACGAGGGGATCTCGAAGTCTCGGGGCTGGCTTCTCGGCTGGACGTAGAAGACGCACAAGCATGGAGACCGCAGGCGTGACGTCCCACGGGCGCACTCCCGCCCGCAGGCACAGCCGGCCGTGTGGCCGGGGAGCGAGCACACACTGAGGTCTGCGTGCTGGCCGGGTCCCCCGTGGGCCCTGGGAGCCTGCCCCGCCCAGCCTCCTGCAGGAGCCCCTCCGGTCATGCCAGCTCCTCCACTGTGCGATGCCGGGGGCGCCAGTGGCCTTCATCGGCACCTGCCGCAGCAGCAGGCGTGCCGCACTCCTCCCCCCCAGGTCTCAGGCACCCCGAGCCCTGCCTGTGGTCACGAACGTGCGGTGTGTGTGCCTGGGAGGGATGCCGATGGCCGTGGTGTGCAGCTGCCCCGAGTGTGCAATGGGATCGTAGTGCAGGCGTGGGGCCGGTGTGTGCAAGGGCAGGCGACAGACACTCCAGCCCTTCCAGCTTCAGGAGAGGAGTCGGAGACGCAAGGAGAGGGAGGGTGTCCACCCACCCAGCCCCGTCTTTGAACCCTGGTGGCCCTCGACCTCTGGCCCGGTCTCTAGGGGACAGTCCCAGGCCCCTGCCCTGGCCCAGCCCAGCCCTGCCTCCTCCCATGTACACATGGCTGGCCCCTGTATGTGACTTCCGTGAACCTGGGCAATCTGGGAGCCCCCTTTCCTGCAAATGGGCCCCAGGTGCCCCTTGCCTACAGCTTTCTCTCCCCCACATCACACCTGCGGGCTCCCTGCCTGGTCAGTCCCAGGGACAGGCTCTCAGCACCTCCCCAGGCAGCTGGCGTGGTCCTGCTGAGGCCCCAGCCCAGCCCGGCCCAGCCTGGCCCTCCACCCTCTGCACTTGGGGGCCCGTCTCACAAGCTGCGGCTCAGGACTCACTCCGAGAGGCACCAGAGCCGCGCAGTGTGTGGTGGCCATCGTCAAGACGCCGCCAGGCCCAGGGACTCCAGACCCCCACCCAGCCTCGTACCCGCTCCAGACACGCCCCAAGAACAGCCTCTGACCCCCCAAAGTGCCACTGCTCCTCCAGGAAAACAGATCCCCAAGCGCAACCTGTCACCGACCGACGCTTCCACTCACCGTCCGGAGGTGTTGGGGGCACCGGTGTGAAGTGGGTCCCGGGTTTGTCTGGGAAGAAACAGACCTCCAGGTTAGGCCCTTCCACAGCCGCCCCTTCGCCCAGGCCCGAGGGGTCGCACCTGCCCGCCCACAGCCCTTCCCTGGCCCCACCCCGAGCTCCGAGGCCCGGGGGTGGACAAAGCAGAGGCCCTCGCGTGTCTCTGGCCCTCCTGCTGCACATTCAGCCTGACTCTGGTCACAGGGGGCCGGGCTGCAGGCCTGTGGGCAGCCAGCCACCTGCTCCCCGGGTCAGCCCCGCACAGGCCCGGCCAAAGCCAGCCGCCCCTTCCTCCTTAGCTCCCAAAGAAGGTGGTCTCTGCAGCAAGGAGTGATGGCCGGCCCCCAGAGCCCAGGGACCCCCAGAAAGGCCCATCCTGCCCTCAGAATGTGCAGGTGGCCTGTCTGAGCTGCACCCCAGCCAGGGGGTGGCCTCTCTGTGACCCCGCCTGTCCCCCAGTCCCTTGGGGGCCAAGGCGGGGGAGCTCGCGGGCGGAGGCGGGGTCACGGGGCCGGGCCCAGGGTGGCCACGCCCGCAGCCACCTACAGTTGTTGAGGAAGAGCAGCACGGCGAAGCCCAGCGTGGCGGTGGCCAGCAGGAGCAGGCACACGTTGCAGGGCACCATGACGCAGCGCACCAGCAGGGAGACCCCGCGCTGCTGCCGGGGGTCCCGCTCCAGCGGCAGCGGGGGCATGGCCTCCACTCAGCCTCCACTCTTGGGGTGTGGAGGTCCTCACGGGGTGCCCTCGGGCCGTCTTGAGGCCGCTTGCCCCATTCTGGAAAGCCTGAGACAGCTGGCAGCAGCTGTGTTCTCAAAGTTCAGCTCCAGTCCCAGTCGGGGGGTGCCAGGTCCCCCCCACACCCTCCAGGCTCATGATGGGAGGTGTGCAGAATTCTCCGGGAGCAGAAATCCCAAATCTGGGCTCAGAGCGAGGCGCAGGAGGAGCGGGGAGCCAGTGGCCACCCTGCTGTCCACAAGCTGTCCAGGCAGGCCGAAGTCGCCAGCAGCTTGACAGCTGTCTTCCTGGGGTCCTTGGAGCCCCCGAAGCCCCCAAAGCCCCAGTCCTGGGCTGGCTGGCCACCCTGGAGAGGCTGGTCTGGTCGGAGGGGGCTGACAGTGGGCGGCCCCTCCGCGGTGAGGCGCCCCTGGTGGGGAGGTATGCCCCGGCAGGGCGCAGATGGGGACCCTTGGCAGCTCCAGGCCCGGCAGAGGCGGGGCGGCGATGGCAGCGAGCGGGAGGAGCCCGCGCGTCAGCAAGGCCGAGAATAAAGAGCCGTTGCTCACGGTGGAGCCCAGCTCCCACCTCCGGACAGCAGGCTCCCCGCGCCCGCGTTGCTGGTGAGGCGGTGAGTGAGGGGCCAAGATCGCCCGCTGAGGGAGGGCGGAGAGTTGAGACAAAGGAAGCCGCCTCCAGGGACCCCGGCGGGGAGTCGTGGTTTGTAGTGCAAAGAGATCGGGAGGATAGGGATGGGACCACGGAAGGCGGCGGCACAAAGGGGACCGCGGGGGCAGGCGCGGCAGCAGCGGGGCTGGGGAACAGGGGCTGGGGCGCGGGCAGGAGGCAGAGGAGGTGGCGGGGTGCTGGGGCTGGAAAGGGGGCCGGGGTGGGGCCAGGGCCGGGGCCGAGGTGGGAGCAGGGGCGGCCGAGTGGAAAGGAGGCAGGTGCTGGGGCGCGGGGTGGGTGAGGGGGCGACGGTGGGGCGGGGTCAGGGGCGGGTCCCCTCCTGCTCCCACCCGGCTGGGCTGGGCGCACGGTCTGAGGTCTGCGTCCGGGTCCCCGAGGGGGACCCTGTTCCAGGCTGCTCTCTACGCGCCACCGTGTGCGGCCCGCCCTGGAGCGCGGTGGGGGAGGGGGAGGTCCGCAGGTACAGACGTGGAGGATAGCGCGCGGAGTCCAACCCGGAGGGTGAAAGTGGCTCAGTGCGCCCACCTCTCCCGAGGAACGGACAGCAAGGCTTCAAACCACCCGCGCGCGCCCCCACCTTCCCCGAGCTGAAGGAACATGCAAATGAGTGCCTGTCCGTAGTGTCCCGGCGGGTTCGGGGCGCCCCTCAGAGGCCGCTCCGGGAACTTCGGGCCCATGACGTCACGGCGGGGCTGTAGTCGGGTCTCCACGTCCGCCCCCTGAGGATGGCCTTTCCCAGCCCCTGCCCAGACGGCAGGTCCTCGGCTCTCTGCCTGCTTGAGAGGCGGGACGTCCACAAGAGTCCCAGCTCAACCCCCGCGGCCAGGACCCCAAAGGCGACCCTTTCTATGGCCAAGTTCACTCCGTCGCATGCCCATCCCTCTACCTGGCGCAGTTTCAGGACGGCCCCTAAGCACCGGCGGCCACGCCCACTGAGACTGGCCCCTTGCATCCTAGACCGGGTCACAGCCCCGTGCCCCCAAAGACCACCACCTGCCCCTCCTAGAGTCTGCCAGCCCTGTCAGGGGACAAAGCGGCAGCTGTGGGCAGAAGAAAAATGGGGCCACATATTAAACCCCTAAACCCGCCAAGCTCACGGGGAGGCCTGCGGCTTCCTTGACAAAGGTCAGTGTGTGCTTGACAAAGGGCAGCACTGAGCCGGAAGGGAGCCTGTCCGTGGCCTCTTTGCAGCTGAGGTGACAACAGACCTTTGAAATGTCAGAGCAACGTCCTTTCCAGACCCCAGAGGACACACCTGGTGCGAGGCCCCAGGGGCCGGTGGCTCCCCCTCCACTCTCTGTCCGATCCCAGACTTTCCTGCTCTGCTCTCTCCCACCCCTTACCCTGCCAGCGGCATCTCCCGCGACCCCTCCTCCCGTCTCCTCCCCCAAGTCGATTCCGATGCCTAAAACTAGCTGCAAAGATGCCTTTCTCTGGAGCGCGTTCTCAATCCAGTGAGATTCTGCCCCCAGCACTGTCAGTTTGGCTCAAATAAACTCATAGAAATTCCCCGCAGGTCTCGAAGTTTCTTACATCTACAAAGTAGAAGGGTCCCTCTTGTTCTTGGGGTCAGGCTGCACCCCACCCCATCCCAGTATCCCTCTGGGTGGGGTCTCTCCAGTGGCTACAGACCACCCCAGTCGAAGACTTAACTGCATCCTGGCTGCCCCTCCCCCCGCCACACTCAGTCACGGCCACCCTGTCACACTCGAAGCCACATTCACACGTTCACAGACACTGCACGCAGGCCTTGGGCGGGGCGCCTGCGTTTGGTGTCTGCAGGTCTCCTTCCAGCCACACTGTTGCCATGGCCACCAGTGCCACCCAGGTCACTCTCCAACCCCATCTCAGTCCATCTTGGGAGGGAGCCCTGACCACGCCCAGCTCCCTGGAGTGCCCTCTGCCCTGGCCCCAGGAACAGACCCTCCCTGGCCTCATCCCAGCTCTCTGCCCTCTGTGACCACCACAGCACAGGGCACCCACGGCCATCTCTGTACCTCTGGCTGGACCCCCCCAAGTTGTTCCACCCTCCCAGGTGTCCAGCTGCCTCACAAATGGGCCCTGGAGTCCCGCCCTGGTCACCACCTCCGGGTCAGGCGGGCTCCTCCGCGCACACGCGCAGCCTCCCGGGGCCGGGCAGCCCCCTGAGGGCCAGCGCCCCGTCTGCCAGGCCCGTTTCTCTCTCGACCCCTCCCCGTTCCTTGGCAGGCACGCCAGTGCCGCATCCCACACGGGGGCAGCCCTGCGTCGGGGGCCCCGTCACACACACACACACAGTGGAGGGCCTCAGACCTCTCAGGGCCCCGGAAACTGAGGTTCTAAGAAAGCCTTGCAGGAGAAGCAATAAACAAAGCGGTTCCCACACCCCACGCCGAGATGGGCCCAGAGCCACAGCCCATGAGGCCTCCTGGAGGCCTGACCCTTGGCCACCTCGCTCTCCTCGGGACCTCCCAGCCCCGCTCACAGCGCGGGACCGGGGCACGGCCCACACGTCACTGATAGTGCCGGTGGCTCCCTGGGCACCACCCTGGACTGGGAGCACCCAGGGCAGGGTCTGACTCTTCATCTCAGTTTGGCCCAGAGCCCAGGTGGTCACACGCTCTCCCATCTACTTCTGGCTGCAGCCCCCCCCGCCCCCCGCCAGGGCTGGGTCCGCACCCTCGGCTCAGAGGGGACCCCTCAGACAGCACCAGCGTCAAAACGCGCAGGTGGTGCCCAGAGCCCACCGGGCACATGCGCCCAGGAACCCTGTCTGCGGCCACCAGGGCGGCTGGGGACACCAGGGGGCCCCATGGAGAGGGAGCAGAAAGGGCCAGGGTGTGGGAGGGGTAAGCCTGGGGATCAGTGGGAGCCTGGGTGGGGCTAGCAGGGGAGCCCCCCCCCCAGCAGAGCCCCTGGGACCTGACCCCCACGAACTGGCCAGGCGGCCAACCCAGGGGTGGGGCTCAGGGCCTACAGGGCTGGGCTGAGGGAAAGGAACCAGCACACAGCCTGGTCCCTCCCAGCCCCCGTCCAAGCCCCCCACAGGGGCTGGCAGACTTCGGAGACAAAGGGCCATTGAGGCCCCAGACCCAGCTGGGGGAGGGGAACGCAGGCTCCCAGAGCTATTTTGGGATCACACTGGTTCAGCCCTGAGCAGCCCAGGCAGGCTCCTGCCCCGGGAAGGACGGAGGGCGCTCTGAGCCGGGAGTCAGCCCCCGCCCGCCCTCGGGGCTCACACACGGCAACGTGCACTCCGCACGGGCACCCTCTCGGGGTTCCAGGTGTCACGTGGGGACGGGTGTCACCGGCACGCGAGCACGGTGGCGTCACTGACACACACATTCGCCTCCACGCGTCACAGCTCACTCCTCCTCCGCACAACTCCTGTGCCCTGTGCTCACGCAGGCTCTGCTCAGGCACCGCCTCCCCCCCAGTTCTCCAGCCACGGGAAGGAATGTGGGGCCGGCCGGAGCCCGGCCCACTGGCCACCTGCTGGCCCCTTTCTCATGCAGATAACCCCTGGCTCCATCCGGAGGGGCGGGGCCCAGCCCCTTCCTAAAGGATGGGGTGGGGGCGGGGCAGAGCGGCCCTGTGGACAGCCTGCACGCTGCTTCAGGGCAGGC